ATTAACCTATTTCACAGAAAATATGTATTTATGGTAATACTTTCTATGAATCCTGTATTCATAATATATTATAAATTCATTTATAAAGCACTATATGGCATACATAATACCTTATAACGCCTGCCATAAGATTGTATGTGTCCTTTCGTGGTTATAGTTATGTATAAAACACTTCATAAAGTATGAGTATACAGCTTTAGAATGTCAAATTTCATAAAGCATTATAATATCTGTTCTAATGATCACTGTAAATATGCATAATGCACACACTATAACACGGTTATAACGAGGTTCTGGGATATTTTCTGCATCACAACGCGTAAATTTATTTGATTTTTTTTAGATGAATAGGCTAGCTGGCTACAGGTGCTAGACTGTTAGCAGTTAGCAACCAAAGCTAAATGGTTAATGGACAATGACAGTAAACGATAGTTGCCTTGTTTAGGAATACAGGAATACAACAGTAGCAAGCTTTAAGCTAGTTTAGCAAATTCATGCCTTAAACAGTTCCTTCAGAGCAATATATCCACACTCTGATGCTCAGTGTATAAGACACACCCCTCAGTGGTATGAATTGTGGACCCACAGCACATGATTCTCATTTTACTTACTGTATGTGAAGAGCACTTATAGTCCACTGTAAGGTACCAGATACTGAAATTCAATTCTCTTAACATTTAAAAGATGTTTAAAAACCTCACCTTAATTAAAGCCTGTAGTAAAGCTCTGTATAGTATTATATATAGTTTATTTATTAGTGTAGTATATTGGTGTGTGTGGTTGGTATAGTGTAGTGGGTAACACCTTTGCCTTCTGCACTGTAGACTGGAGTTCAATACCCCTGCCTGGGTAAGCACCCTACACTATACCAATAAGGGTCCTTGGGCAAGACTCCTAACACTACCTTCACCTACCTGTGTAAAATGATCAAATTGTAAGTCACTCTGGATAAGAGCGTCTGCCAAATGCCATAAATATAGTGTCTACAGTCTTATATCTGAACCGATACTGTCGGGCATTATGAAGCTGTGGATTCTTGCTTCATAAAGATTTATGCATGTAATTGTATAAGCATTATGGATGCCATATAACAATGTATTAATGCATTTATAATGCATTATAAATACAGGATTAAAAGGAAGTGTTACAGTTAGACTGTGACTGAAATGTACTTTGTTATTGCTGAAATAGATCCACTGTAACTTCCCAGTATTTCTGTCCTTTACTCAGAATGTGAGGAAATGAGTCTGCAGGGTTGGATAAGCTCAGTGTTCCACAATACACACCAACTCCATCTCGTGTCACTGTCAGAGATCTGTGATGTGTCTGGATCCACACTGAGCTTCACTGTGGAAGAAAAGGGTGGCTTAGCTTGTTGATACATATATTGATATGCTCATTTTAACACTGTTCTTTTTGAATTATACATACAGTAAAGCTGCCAGCTTATGTTGCAGTCTATTCAATTATTTTCTCTCTAGAAATGAGAGAGACTAGCTTACCTGACACTGTAGCATCCTCTCTAGTATTATCTGCAAAAAAGCATAGAAAATGAGTTACAGTCTGTAAATGTACACCTATAAGGTGCACCTAATAGCTAGGTTTAAAAAAAAGGCCAGTAATTGTACACTATGTGTAAAAACCCCAGCAAAACTGCTGTGCCTGATACAGTCATACCAGCACCGCACACACTACCAGGGAGCAAAAGGGGATGGCAATTTGTGCAGCAACAGGTGAGCTACAGTCTGTAACTGTAAACGTACTGTAAAGTGCAGCTACAGTTGTTTGAAAACATTCTGGGCATCTCTGGCCAAATTGCATATTTGGTTGATTTTTGTAGTGAAAAAAATGAACAGAAACTCTGCAGCAAGCTACTTTTAAAAAAGATACCATTTTTCTGAAAAATGTATTCAAAGTTACTTCGTATTTGATTAGCTTAATGCATAATTTAAAAAAAAAATAGTAGTTGTGGCATGGAAAAAAGTTTGGATTCCCTTCCAGATGAAAAGGGTTTAGAATGTAATTAACTCATTAGGCCTTAATTGACTCGCTAGGACGGGTTAGGCAGGTCAAGAATTATCACTAGAAATGGTCAGCTATTATAATTACAAGTCCAAAGCGTAATGAATTCTATGACTCTTCAAACCTTGTACTAACACTCAACAACCATGGGCTCCTCAAAGCAGCTGGCTGAGGATCTGATAATGAACTAATTGATGCCTACAAAGCAGAAGAAGCCTTTTTTTTCCATCTGTATTTACACGCCCAAATCGTAAGGCAAATTATTCAGTAACTGCATGAAATAAATGTACATTTTTATTTTATTTATTTTTTTTTTGTAAAAGTTCCCCTCAAATTAACAGAACATGTGTTTTATGATCACACATATTGCTATATGCTTACAATTTACTGCTGAAAGCCAAAAATCTTAGACACTCTTTGTATTTTTTCATAAAAATCATTTGTACAGAGCAGATCACTGAAGAGACGCCTTCTGTTTATAATTTGTAGCCCAGATTTGTGGAAAAATGGGTCGACTTTCAGTGGACAAAAAAATTGAGTTCAGCTTTTTATTATAAAGTTGTAAAATTACATCACCCATCTATTTGACTGGAAAGAAGACAGTTACAGCTCTCATACGACCGCCACCTTTTGAATGTAGCTTATGAAATATGAAAGTTATGAAGAATATGACAAAATGCATTTTGGGAATGCATTTTGTCATATTCTTCATAACTTTCAAGGAGTTGAAAAGGTTAAACATGTGTGCAGGCACAGGTAGGGTCCCACATACACAGTAACTTAAAACGTTCCTGCATGTGATCATACATGTGTGTGTAAAATTCCTCATAACAAGTATATAGACATACGATTCCTTATGTTACTCTGGACAGAAATACGTTTTTGCAAGTCATGTGACTAACTGACAAAGTTTGCGTATCATACTGGTACTGACTTAGCAGGTTGTCCAAACACCATGCCACACTTACCATTTTATTTTTTCCTGTTTTTAAGAAAACCAAATAAAATAATGGTGCATTAACACTTGAAATAAATGTGTTCTAAATAGGATTCAACAAAGGTTGTTCCTTTCACTTCAAGTATATGTAGTTTAAACAGGGGTGCCCAAACTTTTGCATACAACTGTATATTGTAGGCTGATAAAGTTTATATATATGGTGTATGTATAATTTTCTACATGAACCCAGTCTTTTTCTATAAAATGATAGAAACAAGAAATATTAGGCTGCTTAAATAATGAAACTTATAGACACAAACATGAAAATTTACAGCAAACTGTAGAATTTACCTTTTTTGCTTCATGGAGTCACTATCGTCCTCTGAGATTTTGTTTGCATCTGCCAAAAAGTAGATCAAAAAGTACTTTAAAAAGTATTTATTTATTCATCCATTCATTTGGCCAAATCAGCGACTAATTGTTTTGCTTATGGCAATTGAGAAGTAACTACATCATACATGGGGGGGGTACAAAATAAAAGAAACACTACATGAAATACTCGTAGCCCATCTTAATGTGAAATTTAATATCACTCCTGTTCAGGCAAGAATGCCACTGCTATCACAATAAGAGTCCTGTGTAACTCTACTGCTGACTATAAGGTAACTTGATTTACTTGGACACTGTATTTGGATTATTATTCATGGTAGTTATAGTAATAAAAGTAATAATAATAGTAACTGATTGGCAAAACAAAAAGCATAGCTGATTATGAGAAACTCCAGACATCAAAACAACAGGTATGCAGTTAACCAAGCCTACATTGTTCCTATACATACCCTCTTTATCTCTACCAGTGAACAAGTGACTACATGAATCTGATTCTACCACCATGCGCACTCACCCCTGTGATAAAGACTGCTATAAAACATGGTGAAGGTATGCAATACAAATACAGTCCAAAACATGGCTAGAGGAGTACATACTACAGCAGTAGTCCCAAAGTCCTTGTAGGACTCTGTGGCCATTTTTGCAACACCACTGGGCAGTTATTTCCAGGCATTCAACCCCAGACTCCTCTTTCTTTGAACAGGCACAGACCAAAATACTTGAAGATGAAGGTGAAGATTTCAGAAACATATGAGATCATTGGTAAAATCTGACAAAAATCTCATAAATAGTTTGTTGCGTTTGACTCAATAATAGGCCGTTCTGGCTACTGTGCTCGCACAGATCTCCACAATGAGGGAGGCTCTCCTTGTTCACCACATAACCAGCAAGCTGACTGGCTCTTTTTCTTGAGGAGCGGGACTTTCTTCCCAAACAGACACCAATGTAAGTGTTACGATTTTTCCCATTCATATTGGAACCAGTTACTTCCTTTATGTACTCTACATTCTTTTTCAGCTGACCTCATTTCAAGGACACCTGGCTAGTTTCCCCAAGCTAATTTCAGTGCAATTTAGCATGGATGAAAAACTGTAAGAGGAAGTGCTTCTGCTGGAATGGATTCATGAGACAATGACAAAGTTTATCTTGCACATTTAATGTTATAATACATGAGGAAACATTTCTGAATGTTCATAATTAACATGCTTATATTGTATACTGTATTACTATTGTTAAAGTTGTTGTGTTGAGTTCTAACTGGTGGTTCACTGGTGGTTTTGGATGGTAAATAAAATGTCTATATTTGTGTTGTAGTCATTGTGACCCCTGGTTCCTATCACCACCACTGTAATGAAATCTGAGTACGTACATCTCTACAATGAAGCATTTCATATAAAACCATTCTGAATAAAAGATGAAGGCAAAAGACTCTTCAGTCTGTAGGACTTAATCCAAATGAACGGACCTTAACTAGATTTACATCAGCAACTAAGGCACTATACAAGAAATAATGTGCTACTAGATTTGCTCTATTAAGTTTAACCAGTTTCATACAGTAAACCTAAACAAATTCAGTTGCTGTAATACTGACCAAATACAACTACATAAGGCTATAAAATTTGCATATCACTTTCTTATCAGACTCTCCTTCCCTGCACTGAAAGTGTACACCCTCCCCTGAGCAGACCACAGCAGGACGAGAGGTGAAAAGTCAGGAGGACAGTCACCCGTTCTTCCGTTCTCAGTAACAGGTAAGATCATTAATATGAAAACAGAGACTGTATGCTGTCTATTAACACTCTTAAATCCTGAAAACACAGTCATATGAAGCTATAATACATCGTTGTGTGGCTGTTGTTCAAATGGAGAGACTGAGCTCAGTTCCAGATTAGTTTAGTGTCAAGTTGTCATCGTACATCTACAGTGGTTAGAGTTCACTTAAGATTACCGATCACTCCAATCTGTTTTAGTATGAAGTACAGCTGTAAGAAATGTCTGTTTTCTGTTCGTCTCTATAATCTGTACCTTTGTTAATACAGTCTTTTTTATTGGTGGTTGTTGCTTTGAAGTGAACGCTCACAGGACAAAGTTCACCTTCCTGATTCACGCAGGAGCATAGACTACAGAGTGAAAGTTGAATGTCATGCTAAAAATGTGCTATTTTACTAAATAATACAGTTTAGATGCATAATTTAGAATTTATATTTTTATTCAATATTTCATTTATTTTTAAGAACAAAAATTATGAAGTGATAGAAAATGTATACTGTAATTACCTATTTAAAAAAATTCTGTTTATCTGCATTTGGATTTGATCACAAGGCATTGTGGAAGTTTATTTTATTAAAACTTCATTCTGGATGATATTTTTATGAAAAGGTTATTGTGAATTTATAATTTCATTATAGACATTAATTTTATTAGAACTACATTCTTGATATTAATTTTATTAGAACTTCTTTTATTAGAACTACATTCTGGACATTTTTTATTAAAATATTATTCTGAATATTGATTTTATTACAATTCCATTCTGGATGTTCTTTTTATTCAGATATTTTTCTAGATATTAATTTTAATATAACTTCATGTGCATTTTATTAGAACTTCATTCTGGATGTTCATTTTATTAAAACTATATTCTGAAAATTAATTTTGTTCAGGTTTTATTCTGGATATTCATTTTGTTAGAGCTTCGTTCTGGATATTAATTTTATTGGAACTTCATTCTGGATATAAATTTTACTGGAACTTCATTCTGGATATTAATTATATTGGAACTTCACTCTGGATATTCATTTTATTAGAGCTTCATTCTGGATATTAATTTTATTAGAACTTCATTCTGAATATTAATTTTGTTCAGGTTTTATTCTGGATATTAATTAGAACATCTTTCTGGGTATTAATTTTATTAGAACTTCATTCTGGAATTTGTTTTATTAAAATATCATTTTGAAAATTTGTTTTATTAGAAATCCGTTCGGATGTCAATTTTGTTAAAACTTTATTCTGGATATTATTTTTTGGGAACTTCATACTGGATAATAATTTGTTAAGGTTATTCTAGTTGTTCATTTTATTCAAGTTTTATTTTGGATATTAATTGTATTAGGACGCTGTAGGTATTAATTTATTAGAATTTTTATCACAGCTTCAGTCTTTAATATTAATTTTATTAGAACTTCTTCATGCTCTACAGCTTCGTCAGTCATTTCTTCATTCCAACCGAATGAAACCCTTGAAATTGTTCAGTATTGTCATCATTTTAGAATCTAATTCTATATGCACATCTGTACTGCGATGAAGTGTTGAGCAGTGTAGAGATGCTTTGTGGCTGTTTTGTTTAGTAATAAGTTGTTCTATGATTTGCAGCTATGCTACTGATCTTCATCGCATCTGCTCTCACTTTTTCAGCAGCAGGTAAATCCAACAATCTCTCTATATATAATCAAACTCTGCATTCAGCACTTCAACCCCTTAATGATAATTATTCTAGAAGTAGTCTGTCTCTCGCTCTGCCAGAAGGTGTAGTTCTGAGTTTCTGCTTCTCTCTCCACTGTCAGAGTTCTCTGTATTTGTTCCTAATGGCTCAGTGTCAGAGCGACTCGGGTCATCAGCTGTCCTGCCGTGTGGTCTTTCTCCTGCCTTGAATGCCAAAATGTTTGATGTTCGATGGCACAAGAATGATTACAACAACCCGGTTCTGCTGTACAAAGATCTAAAGGTCCAGGAGAACACTGGAGATCCTCAGTACAGAGGCAGAGCGTCTCTGATTGGAGAACTGGAGAAAGGGAACGTCTCTCTAAAACTGGAGAACCTCACGCTGACAGATAGAGGAGAATATGTGTGCTTTGTTCAGAGTGTCACTTGGTACGAGAAGGCCAGTGTAAATCTCATAGTAAGAGGTAAGACCCTGACTTGAACTATGACCACTACATTCTCAAGATGACATACACTGTCCAAAATCAAAGGTACTGAATGTAAACAATGATTGTGAACAAACGCCAACACTTGCTGCCCGCTGTGATTTCTAGCCCTGCTCAATGTCTTTGAGCGTCACTGGCACTCATCCACCTGCTATTACTGCAAGAAGATTAAGTGACCCTTATTAGCCCCACAGTGGGGAAACTTCACATCCGCATTCTAACCCATCCGTGCAGTGAAACACCACATACACAATAGTGAATGCACACACACTAGGGGGCAGTGAGCACACTTGCCCGGAGCGGTGGGCAGCCATATCCACAGTGCCCGGGGAGCAGTTGGAGGTTATTTGTCTTGCTCAAGGGCACTTCAGTCACATACTGTTGGCTCAGGGGATCGAACCAGTGACCTTCCAGACTGCCCCTTAAAGCCTAAAAGATAAACAGACAAGTGCCAATCATCTTTTATTTGGTATTATAAGGTAACTGTCTCACCATTTACAGTCCTGTGCAAAAGGCAGAAAACATCCTTTATTTATTTAATAATTGGAAAGCCAGGAGTTTCCCAAACTAGAGAAAATGTGTCTCCTAACAACCACCTGGAAGACTTGGTGGACACCAAAACTGCCCCCATCAGATAAACAGCACTTAAAGCTTTCATCTCTGAGAGAGAGGAGAAAATCAAGCTGCTTCAGATCTGAAAACATCCACAGGTGTTTCTGTCCATCCTTCCACTGTGAGAAGACGACTCAGCGCTGTGGGTCTGATAGGATGTGTAGCTGTCAAGAAGAACCTCACTGAGAAAAGGAGATGAAGAAGCTGAACAATGGACTGACCACCCCAGAGTCCAGACCTCAACATCATTGAGTGTGTTTACTCAATAATCTGATCATAATCAGATTTCTGCAGTTATCTAATTATTTAAATGGTCATGTAAACAGTACTCTCTGATTTCTTAGATCAAAGTAAGGTGTAGAAATCCAATTAAGAAATCTGAAAAAGAGGCTGGATTTTAGCTCAGTAGTCAGATTTCTCAGTGCATGTGAACTCTTACTCTGATTTCTTTCGGATTTCTCAGTCTGTGCATGTGTGAAAAAACAGACGGCAGCACTGGAAATAAGCCAGCGGCATTGCTGTGACAAAATGAAGGATTTATATCTTCTAGATGTTGTATGTTCATATTTTCAGGTAAGGTGGGGCGATGAAAAGCCACGTCATGAAGTTTGAGTTTTAAATCACGTTTACATCACTCCTTATTCTGTGAGTTTATTGGCTGGTTGCAAAGCAGAAATCTGATTACTGTCTGACTCGTGTAGACCTGGAGTTTTCACATTATCTGATTACTCAAGTACATATAGCATATAAACACGTTGATCGGATTACTGATAAAATATGATTTTCTGCAGTTATCAGATTATTAAGTGCATGTAAACACACTCACTGAATGTGTTTGGATTATTTCAGAAAATGATAAACCAACTTCTAATACTGAACTTTGGAGGTGTGTCTGCAGATTTGTTTTGATGAACTGAAAGTGAGTCTCCTGAACAGAACAGAAGCCGTGCTTTTACTGTATTTGTTTTGTTCTGATGATTTAATAAATGAAGGGTGGTCTGGCTTTTGCCAAGCACTGGTAAATGCTCAGCTATTTCTGAAGGGCTGCTGTGGCTGTGAGTTTTCATTCCAACAAAGCAGGAGCTGAAATGATCAGTTGTTGAAGACCGAGATCAACTGATTGAACAAGTGCAAAAGTGTCCGCCAGCACGTTTGGAATGAAAACCTGCACATCGGCTTTTTGCGGATAAGATTGGACATGCCTGCTCTGTAATGTTGGGCACCAGTTATTTGGGTATTATGATGTAAAGATTTGTGAAGATTTCCTGACCCTGTAGTGGACAGTGCAAAAAAAAACACAGCCAACACAGCCAGCACAGCGCTTCACTCTTACGCTATTGTATTACATAGAGAAAGCCTTCATAGTCTTTGTGTGTAAGGGTCCAGCCTGCGCCGCCGGCTGCCAGCAGAGGGCGATGGCGGCAAGGTGCCCAGCCTGCACCGCTGGCCACCAGCAGAGGGCGAAGGCGACGAAGTGCCATAACTTCAGGGAACTCCAATTCCCAGAAGCCCTTGGGCTGATTAGGCCCAACCTGACACACCTGTGGGCTCCTCTACTTAAGGCTGTGGCAAACAGCAGCCCTTTGTCACACCTTTGTAGAGGGGTGACTGGTATAGTACGCAGCCCAGGTGGGTATTTAAAGAAAAGAAAAGAGGGCTGGAAAAAAAAGAGTAATTACCCCAAAACTACTACTAAAAAAAAAGAGAAGGCCTGAGCTACAAACGGCTCCAAGCCATACAAAAAGTGTTTGGTCCACTAAGAGTAAACAAGTAAAACATAAAGTCTTCCTTCCCCTCATAATTACAGTGGAAGTGTCTTTTTTGTTTTCTCATTTTTTTTTCTCAGTTTTATTTCACGTTTCTAGTTCAGCCTTTGTTTGAGCTGCTTTCGGCGTTTCCTCTGTTTGCTGTTTTTCCCGCCTTTTGATTTCCCGCTCCTTGAGGTGGTTTACCCATTGTCACCTGTGCTTCCCGGTGGCACATCCGTAACTCCACGGACCACTGATCAGTACTGGCTCTGGGTCACCTCAACCCCAACGTGTCAAATTCACACTCCATTGCCTCAGTAAATGTATTTAACACTCTTTCTCACGGGTTTTCATATTTGCACTTGGGTCCGCCTCCCTGCCGTCCCGTAACACTTTGTTGAGAATAGTCTCTTCTACTGCCTAATCTTCTACTGTCCTTCACAGCACTGGGCTCTTCTCCTCTCTTCTCACTGGCTGAAGTTGGAGATCAGGTGAACGTTTCCTGTGCATCAGGAGGATGGTCACCAAAGCCCACCCTCACCTGGAGGGACAAAAGAGGAAGAGAACTCACAACCAGCCATATTCATTACAAAACTGGTACTAGATCACAATATCATGCTTTAGGAAAGTATGAAATATAGCATTTCACACAAACTATTCCCTTCAAGACCAAAACTTGCTATTTTAATGAAATGAGACTTATTACAGAGAACAACATTAAAGTTGGAAATCATATATTCTATCCTTAACATCCTGGTAGATCTGGTAACGTAACCTCCCCCCTTACTCTTTTTCTCTCATTAAGACCCTGAAGGGTTGGTCAGTGTGAGCTCTTGGCTGCTTTTCTCTCCGTCTGAGTCAGAGTGGATCTCCTGTTCTGTGGGTTTATCTGATCAGGAGATGATAGACAGCCGAGTGCTGCCAGTCAAAGGTAAGAATAATTCTCTCTATGCTATTTGGATCATTCAGCTGAACTAGTGAAAGAATCATCTCAGACTTTTAACTGAATCTGAGTTTAGACTAAAATCTAAAAACAGCTGTGCACATATTAAATGAAGAACACCTGAAAAAACCAAGCAAAAACATACATTTAATTCATGCAGTCATGCAAAATATAAATAAGAAATGAGACACATTTCAAAACAAAACCACAAATGTGAAGTTTAGGACACAGTGAGTCGTGCATTAACTGTCAATATGGTGGGCAAGATCCATTCTGGAAACATCAGATGACAATGGCCACACCCTTTTAACCCGTTAAGACCTACACTGACACTCCTCAACCTTTCCACACTTTTGTGTTTTGTACTGTATGGTAAAGTGTTATATTTATTTATGTATATATATATATATATATATATATATATATATATATATATTTATTTATTTATATATATATATATATATATATTTATTTATATATATATATATATATATATATATATATATATATATATATATATCTCCAACATAACCTCAGCTTATAAAATGTCATTCAATAAATATTTCCACACACTATTTTTGTAAATTAGCCCATAAATAAAATATTATTCTTCATGCTACATTTATATCCTGTAAAAACTCAAAGCCCCCAACTTAAACCCTGCATTTAAGAAGCCAATTCCTGACTGGACAAACAAAAACTGTTTAGTTTTGCATGTTTGTTTGAAGTACATTTTGTTTAAATTTGTTTGACGGGAATTCAGGATCCGGCCAGGTGCTGCAGGATTTGGAATTATGTCATTTATGCCTAAATGTTTCTATGATTTTGTTTCTGTAGGATTCTGGAGAGAGGCGTTCATCTCAATTCTTGTATTTTCATTGATCATCATCGTCATCCTCACTGCTCTTCTTTTAAAAAGACAAGGTACTGAATAAAGCTGAAATAGAGGTTGTAAATGTTTTGGACATAGACTCCAATACTGGCAACAATGCAAAGTAACATTTTTGTTTTCTTTGAAAAGGTTTTCTACCACACTGCTCATTTCAGAAAAACGCAAAGGCAACAGGTACCATTTATTATTTCATCATTTTCTCTGTGATAAAATTTGACACATAGTTTGACTGTCATTTCAGATGCTACAATTTTGACGGCATTAGAAATGCTTCATAAGTACCTAAATAGCTCAAATTAAGCATTTGGCAAAGTTTTTTGTTCATTAAGTTGGTTAGACAAAGCTAACTTACTGTTCATGTTCTTTTCTCATTCTTATTCTGTACTTTTTGTACCATTTTTAGAGGTACTAGATTACAGGTTGTAGTTTTTTTGAGCTAGAGTCTTAAAACTTTGCAGGCTAGAGCCTGTATAGGAATAGTATGCCTGTGCATTTGGGACTGATCAGTTTTTGTACAGAGTTTATTTAAACACTATTTTTTGTTTCAATAAGAAATGAATGGCAGAATGTTGAGAGTTCAAATCTAACAGCCACAAATGATCTCTAACACTGATTCAGCATTACATACAGACTCACATAAATACTAGCATATACATATTAGCAACCACCTGGGACACTACAGCAGTTTCCTAGCAACAACTTAGCAACCACTGTTGATACCATAGTAAATGCCTAGCAATATCTTAGAAACCACCTGGGATATCACAGCAATGGCCTAGCAACCCCTTAGCAACTGCTTTGGATACCATAGCAATGGCCTAGCAGCACTTTGGTATCCAAGACGGCTGCTAAAGTGATGGCCTAGCAAAACATTAGTAACCACCTTGGGTACCATATCAGCAACCCAACAACACCTAAGCAGCTGCCTAGGATACCACTGCACAGCTGAACAAAACCTCAGCTATTGCCTGAGAAACTATAGTAACTGCTTAGCAACACCTAAGCAACCACCTATAGGATATCATAGCAATAGCCTAGTCACACTTTAGCAACCGAGTGGGATAACACAGCAACCACCCAACAACACCCATCTGTGATACCATAGCCACTGGCTAGCAACATCTTAGCAACCACCTGGGAAAGTATAGCAACAGCTTTGTCAAGCCAATTTAATGTTCATTCACATACAGTCTAAATGTTTGACAATAGATTTCTCAGCTTTTGGATTCAGTTCTAGAACATAATAGTTGACCATCGATAGACCTGGTGACACATCTGCATCTGTCTCATTCACAATGATGGTGTAGTGCTAATAATCACATTGTGATAAAGTTGCACCATACACCAGAATGGACATATGTTGTGATAGGTGTGCATGTGAAAAACAGGTAATTTTTCTAAATTTATTATTGACAAGGTCAAAAGTATTGACATTTCATCAAATGTGGGGAAAAAGTCAAATTAAGCTGCTTATTAACTATATAATTGCAACATGCCATTGATGTTACAACAATCATATAAAGTATAGACTAAAACTTTGTAAAAAAAAAAAAGAAATGCTCTGAAATGCTTATTCATGTATTGCAATGTTAAATGTGCGAAATAAATGTACATAACTTTTTTTCTTTGTCTTGCAGTCAATTTGTGTGAATCTGTTCCAGCAGAAGCGCTTCCTCTTACAGGTAACTATTTTTCATCTACGCTAAATTGCACTCAAATTAGCTACGAGAGACTAGCCAGGTCTTCTCCAAATGTAGTCAGCAGTAAAAAATGTAGAGGAACAGACTGGTAACTGGTTGAAATATGAGTGGGAAAGCTTAACATGGCACCTGCTCTTCAAGAAAAAGAGCCAGTCAGCTTGCTGGTTATGTGGTGGACAGGGACAGCCTCCCTCATTGTGGAGATGTGTGCAAGCGCAGTAGCCAGAACAACCAATTACTGAGCCAAATGCAACAAACTATTTATGAGATTTTTTTCAGATTTTACCAATGATTTCAAATGTTTTTGAAACAGTACTTTTCACCATCAGCTTCAAGAATTTTGGTCTCTCCTCATTCAAAGAGAGAGGAGTCTGGTATTGAAAGACTGGAAATAACTGCCCGGTGGCATTGCAAAAGCTGTTGAGTCCTATAAGGACTTTGGCACTACTGGTACTACATGCAGTCCATGTTTTGGACTGTATTTGTATTGCATATCTTCATGCTTTATGGCAGAGTTTGTCACAAGGCATGTGGTGTTAGAATCAGACTCATGTAGTCACCTGTTCACTGGTAGAGATAGAGAGGGGTGTATAGGGACAATGTAGTTTTGTTTGAATCTGTTGTTTTGATGTCTGGAGTGTATTTTTCTGATAAACAGCTATGCTTAGTTTGTTGTGCCAATCAGTTACTATTACTATTATAACTATAACTACTACATATAATCTAAATAGTTTTCAAGTTGGCATACATTTAACAGTAGAATTATACAGGACTCTTATTGTGATAGCAGTGGCATTCTTGCCTGAACAGGAGTGACATTAAATTGCACATTATTACTGTTTCTTTTATTTTGTACCCCCCAATGTATAATGTAGTTACTTCTTAATCGCCATTATTAAAACAACTAGTTGCTGATTGTCTGGCCGAATGAATGAATAAAAAAGTATTTTTTTTTAAAGTACTTTTTATCTACTTTTTGGCAGGCACAAGCAAAATATCAGAGGAAAATGGTGACTCCGTGAAGGAAAAAATAGGTACATTCTACAGTTTGCTTGTTGTGTCTCTTGTTTCTGTCATTTTATAGAAAAAGACTGGGTTTATTTACAAAATGATACGTACACCAAGTTCACAAAACTCCAGCAAGGCGTAAGCGTTTACTAAAGGTGGCCAGTTTTGAGTTGTAATACAACCATTTTGGGATCACTGCTGTCCATGGCTTCAATGGGCATCCATCAATGATTCAAGTTTTACTATTATAGTACCAGTATGATGCTACAAATCTTTGTCAATGAATGACTTTTGTGATAAGGTCACAGGTAAGTTTTCCTTTTAATGACTCATCCATGCAGATCATGTTTGTGCAAGCAATGCTGCACAGTTGAACAGTGCACCACCACTCCTGGGTCAGCTAAATATTCCCTGCAGGTCCTATGCTGTCATGTGGGGGTTTTGCTTTGCCTTTCTGGCCAGCATATGAACAGTTCTATCTTTTCTTGGTCTTCCAGATCTTGCCTTGACTTCCACAGTTCCCCTTAACTGATATTCCTTAATAACTAATAGCACTTTGATGTCTTTTTAAAAGGCTTATGCTGCTTTGTACGCAACAATTAGTTCATGTTCAGATCCAGCTGCTTAGAGGAGCCCATGGTTGTTGAGTGTTAGTACAAGGTTTGAAGAGTCAGAGAATTTATTACTCTCTGGACTTGTAATTAAAGCAGATGACGATTCCTAATGATAAGTCTTGACCTGCCTAACCCGTACTAGTGAGTCAATTAAGGCCTAATGAGTTAACTAAGTTTGAGACCTTTTTCGTCTGGAAGGGAATCCAAATGTTTTCACAATTGCTATTTTATTTTTTCAACCCGTTAAGCTAATCAAATACAAAATAACTGTGAATTAACATTTGCAGACATATGGTATTTTTTTAAATAGCTTGCTGCAGAGTTTGTGTTAAAATTTTCACAACAAAACTCAACAAAATACACAGTTTGGGGATGCCCAAAATGTTTTCATGCAACTGTAGGTGCATTTGTACAATTACAGTTACAGACTATAGCTCACCTGTTGCTGCACAGTTTAACACCTCCCTTCTGCTCCCTGGTACGGGGTGTAGGCGTGTAAAATTACTGGCCTTTTTTTGTCCTTTTTTATGCACACCTATTTGGTTATATTAAGAAACTATAGCTAATTGTCTGTGTACAATTTTTGTTAGGTATCTTCTAGCCCTCCATTAACGGTCAGTTTCTTACCACAGAACCAGTGTTGGCTGGTCCTCTCTTAATCTAGCAGTGACACTGGCAGCCAATGACACATCACTGCTGTGTTCATCTTTTCTTTTATAATTTAAAGAGAACATTGTTAAAATGTGTATACCCACACAGGTGTGAGTGCAATGTTCATGTTAGGAGATTGTGAGGGCCATTTCAAACCCTTAAGCTTGCATTTCTTGAAGTAGTTCATGGTGGGTTTTGAGGTATGTTTTGGATCATTGTCCTGTTGTAAAAGCCAGCATCTTTTCAGCTTCAGATTCTGGACCCCACACAGGTGTCAGCTCACAGTCCTCTGTATCTGCTAAAGAGAGGTTACTGGTGTGGAATAAGCTGAAAAAACAGAAAGGTATTTAAAATCTAATTCAAATTTAACATTCCTTGACATGCGTCTATCATCACAGTTCTTTTCAAACAAGCTAAGCCGCCCTTTTCTTTTACAGTGAAGCTCATTGTAGATCCAGGCACATGTCACAGACCTCTGACAGTGACACAAGATGGAACCGGTGTGTATTGTGGACAAGTGAACACATCCAACTCTGCAGACACATTTCCTCACGTTCTGAGTAAAGAAGGATTCTCCTCAGAACAGAAATACTGGGAAGTTACAGTGGATCTAAAAACTAAGTGTAAGCTGTCATGGTGTGTGGGGGTAACACAAAAGCCCCCCACTAAAGAGACGCTCACAGCTCTCTATTATGAAGAACGCTGTGGTATTTACCCCAGTACTGACCCTCACATTCAGATACCTGCTGAAGATCACGTTACCACCCTGGGCCTGATTTTAGACTTCAAACACAAAACTCTGTCCTTTATTAATGTAGATAAACAATCTCACCTTCATACTTTTAGAATGAATAACATGAGTAATAATAAATATTTTGCACTAATGAGTCCAGGAATAAAAGATTGCTACCCTGTAAGTTTTCATAATTAGTAATGTGATGTGAACTAAAGATGGACTCCAAGGACAGTGGACCTCATTCACTAACAGTTAAGAAGAAATTTCGGTAACACTTTCTATGAATGTCACGTTTGTAAGCATCTATAAACACATAACATGTTATAATGCATTCATATGGCATTATAAACATGATTATAAACATTTATAAAAATGAATTACACTTTATAGCCATGTTTATTATACATTATGAATTGTTAATATAATGCATTATAAGTAGTGTCAATAACATGTTATACTGTCAGTGCCAATTAAGTCAGTCCCAGCTTGGAGAGTGCAAAGTAAAGACAAATACCAAGCTAACGGTGGTGAACATTACCTTTCCCACATTGGGTAAAACACTGATGCAGCTCTAGTTTAAACTCTGACATTTGAAGCCTGTAATGTGCTTTATTGTGTATGTTTTAGTGTTTCAGTAAATCCTTCAGTAAATACTTCAACTTGAAGCCTCACTCTTAACACTGGAGGAGGCTTTAGTACAGTACGCTTCACTTTACTTAGAGCAGACAAATACGACTTATGAGCTCTTATTTGTTATGATTAGTACTTATGTATTATGTTAACAATTCATAATGCATAATAAGCATGGCTATAACATGTAATGCATATTTATAAATATTTATAGCCATGTTTATAATGCCTTATGAATGCATTATAACATGTTGTTATGAATGTGTTTATAGATGCTTACAAAGGTGACATTCATAGAAAGTGTTACCGAAATTTCTTCTTAAAACCCTCTTACGCCGTTTTCACGAAGATTCTGACCAATGTTTTCTTGAATGAGGCACAATGTCACATAGCTACTTAAGGGCTCTCTTTTACTAATTTTCTTATATTGCTAATTTGGTTGGGCGTAAGCCACCTTTTTCATGCCATATGTAGCATTCAAAATCTGCTGGCACAGTAGTTTGGATGCTTTGGTCCAAAATAGTGCTTGCATTAGCACTGTCCTTGGTCCCACTGTTTAGTGCAGAGGCCAAAATGGTGGACATAAGGTCCTGTCCCATTTTTTTACAGGCCAGTTTTAAGGATGTACCAAACTGTACCACTCCATTTTAATGTACAGCCAGCTATTATTAGTTAGGGTTAGATGCCATTACACTATTTGGAAGGTGTGGCAGAGGAAACCTTTTCTTTTAAGTAACCACAAACATAATCGCCTCAACTTCTCTTAACACTACTGGAATTTTGACCCGAACTGGGTTCTATGGTTGGATGAGACAAAAATACGGGGGACTGGGGACGGCTGCAACACATTTTGCATTTCTTTAAGTTACTCAGTGACTATTAGAACTAGACCAACCCAAATTTTACACATTAAACTTACATCTGTGTGCTAATTATGCATTCCATTTATAGATGACTATGTATGACATCATTCACAATTTGAATGGAAGAAGTCACGTGTTGCAACTGACCCCAACCCTGGGAACAGTTGCCACACAGATCAGGGATGATTTGCAATGTTAAAATTACATTTAAATTTCACTAGTTGTCTCAATAAGCATAGTATTCTGAAAACATGCATTGTTTTACAGTAATATTATAGTATTATTTATTTATTTAGTAGTATTTATCACTGTTCTGACTGTGCTGCCCTCATCCCTGATTTATATTTGAGGCTTTTTCCAAAATACTGAGAGGAGCTCAACAACTACTATACTTTGCAGACTCTCTTGTACATATTCTAACAGCAATTTTTGTCACAGTCCCATTTTTATAGTGGCTTCATCCCAAAGTTTATTACCCCAAACAGCTTACACTGTTAAACTTTATGTGTACAGGAAGGTTTAGTTTTCTTGAGCAGATTGAATAAAAAGAAGATACTTATGAGTTTGTTTTATGTTGAGAATGTTTTATTTGAAAGTGAATTTTATACTGTGGATAAAATGCATCACTGACACCATAATGATCCTGTGTTGTACTGTAAAATTACCGTAAAAAAGAACTACACTGTTATTAATGCTTTATTGCTCTGTTGGGGTTTACTCTTATATTAAACTTTTTACTTATTATAGAGAACACATCAAATGAGAACACTCACTCAGCAATGAAGCGTTCGCTACAGATTTATCTATAAAGCTGTTTCTACAGCCTAAATCTGCCTTATTTTGCTGAAAAGTTTTCCTGAAAAATTTAACTAAAATGCTAAACATTTATCACAGCAAGGTGAGGATGTTATTTTGTTAATTCTCCCAAAACAAAAAGGAAACCTTATTTGAGAGACATGGAAAATGTAGTCACTGCTCAGTAAATACAGAAAAAAGGCTGGCGTGCTGCACATTCACTTTTCTATGTTTTGTCACCATCTTGTGGCAACGTGGGGGGAATCCAGTCTTTATCATCTGTACTGTACTAAAGGAGGGGTTACAGTATAGAGACCCCACTTTGGATTACATTATAAATGACATGCACCAGATTATCATTAAAGTACCCCTCTCAGCCCTGGCTGTGGGGCTGTTTATGTTACCATGGTTACAGTCACTGTGTGGTCTGAATTGCACACAGTCCTGCTCAGTAGTTAAGTTTCAATAGCTTTAACTTCAAATTGATACTGACTTTATCTGACTTTGGTTAATGATCATCAGGTGTCGCATCTGTAGTAATAGTGATAATAATAATAATAATAATAATAATAATAATAATAATGATAATACAACCCAAATTCCAACAAAGTTGGGACGGGGGCATGTTTACCACTGTGTTTCATCACTTCTTCTTTTATCAGCACTAAGTATTTGGGAAGTAAGGAAACCAACTGCTGTAGTTTTGAAAGTGAAATGTTTTTCCGTTCTTGTTTGATATAGGATTTCTGCTGCTTTTGTGGTCTGTTTTGTCATATTTTTCATTTTGTAATGTACCAAATGTTTTCAGTGGTGAAGGTCTGGACTGCAGGCAGGCCACTTTAGCGCCCAGACTCTCTTTTAATACGTAATAATGTGTTTTTACATCATCTTGCTGAAATAATCAAGGCCTTCCCTGAAAAAGACGTCATCTGGATGGCAGCATATTTTGCCAAAACTTGTCTATATCATTCAGCATTAATGGTGCCGTCACAGATGTGCCAGTCACCCATGCCATGTGCACTAATGCCCCCCATACCATCATGAATACTGGCTTTTGAACTGTGCACTGATAAAAAGTTGAGTGGTCTTTAGCCCGGAGGACACAGTGTCCATGATTTCCAAAAAGAATTTCAAATATTAATTCGTCGGACCACAGGACACTTTTCCACTTCCTCTCAGTCTGTTTTATGTGAGCCCAAAAGATCACGGCCAGCATATACTGTTTTTTTGGCCTTGTCCTTTACATACAGAGATTTCTCCAGATTCTCTGAATATTTGAATGTTATTATGATGATGATGATGATGATGATGATGATGATGAAAAGCAAAAGTTCTTTGCTATTTTACATTGAGAAATGTTTTTCTTGAATTGTTGCACTATTGATCGTGCAGTCTTTCACAGAGTGGTGAACCCCTCCTCATCTTTACTTCTGAAAGACTCTCTGAGATTTTCTTTTATACCCAATCATGTTACTGACCTGTTGCCAATTAACCACCAGGTGGTTTTTTTTGTTTGTTTTTTTTTAGCATTACACAACTTTACTAGCCTTTTGTTGCCCCTTCCCAACTTTTTTGGAACGTGTTGTTGCCATCAAATTCAAAATGGGCAAATATTTTTCAAAAAACGATCAAGTTTCTCAGTTTCAATATTTTGATTTGTTGTCTTCATACCATTTTCAACTAATTATAAGGTTTAAATGATTTTCACTTCATTGCATTTTTTTTTACACTTTGCACAGCATCCCAACTTTTTTGGAAATGAGTTGTAACAATAATAAATACATTTTACTGTTAAATATGACCATTTGGTTGAATAAAGTTTTAGCGGAGAGTGGGGCACAACACATTTTGTTTTTTGCTAAATAATTTTTAAAATATTTAAGTTGGAATAGTCATATTTTTATACAAGCAACATAAACATCTCTGCTACAAACAAACACTTGAACTTTGTTCCTAGCAATTGCCATTCATGTACAATTCCACCAAACGTGACAGTGTTACAGTTAAGCCCATGGTTGGGTTCACTGTAACAGGCAGAGGGTCAGATTAACAAATGCTAGAAAGGTCTGTTGAATCAGTGCAAAGAAAGTTAATTCAATATAATTCTATGTTGTAAGAATGTTTTCCAACCATACTGCATTATATATTATCACCCAGCCCTCTCAAGCCTTTCCAGAAAACATAGTATGTGGAAAAGTACAATAAGTCCAAAAGTTGAAAGTCCACCAGCGCTCATAACCGAGGCCTGTTTAGCGGTACAGTGTGTGACCTTTAGTCTCCACCACCCATTTTCGTATGCATGGTAGGGCTGAACGATATGTTTAAAATATCCAATAGCGATTTTTCTGACTGAGATTGTGACTACGATCCAAAAGCAATTATTAATTTAAGCTCCAGGCCTTTTTTCAGCACCAGGCTTGAGGATTGACTGCTATATGTAAGCGTGCCAGACTGCCAGGTCATGAGTTCAGCGTTAATAAGTTAAATTTCTAACTTAAATATTGCTAAGACAACGTTGAATAATATGAGATGTATTTTGAACTGCAGCTCTTGTGATTTTAAAAATTCTTTCAAATTGAAATTCTTTAAAATTACACTGTTTTTAAAATTGCAAATTATTGTAAAAAAAAAAAAATAAAAACAAATTCTGTACTGGTACATATAAGCTATTCTGTTGCTGTCATAAGAAAACCGTGTAAATCCATTTTTTATGGCTATTTTGAAAGCAGAATGACAGGCTGTAAAACTGCATATCAGTCCTGATATCAGAGTCTCCTCCCTTTCGGTTAGGCTGTAACCCTCCCTCTGAGCAGATCACGGCGGGAAGAGAGGTAAAAAGTCAAGAGGACAATCACCCAACCTTCTGTTCACTCTAACAGGTAGGATTATTAATAATTCAATAAAATAGTAAGAAACAAACTATAAATTGTCTATTTATAGCATCAAATCCTACCAAACATCACTAAATAAGGCAGTAATATGTAAATACTGAGCTGTTGTTTGTACTGAAGGACTGAAATCAGTTCCGTATAAGTTAATAAGTGTCATGACCGTCTAACAGCAACACAGAGATTAATATATTATTATTCACTAAAACTTTCAGATTTTTATAGCTTTTGTTGCATTTGAAGTACAGTTGTGGAAAGGGTTTTCATGTTTGTCTCTATAGTTGAATAATTTGTCATTATTATTATTTTTAGTTGCTTGGAAGTGAAAGAAAACAGGAGGCTGTAGATATCAGAGTTCTAAAGTTCACCTTGCTGTGCATGAATGCGACCATTCAAATGACTAATCACACGGCATATTAGTTTTGGACATTTTTTAAGAAAAAAAAATTGCAATGTAAATTTAAATAACGCAAACTGGACACTAAATGGCATTTTTATGCTATATTAAATACATTAAATATTTTAGGGAACTATTTAAAGTTATTAAATGGCAACATGTCCTCACAATCGTGAGACTAACGTGAGACTAAACATTTCCTATGGGATTCAAATCTGGACACTGGACAGGTCACAACCATCTGTAGAAAGCATTATATTTTGGGCTTTACACATGGTTATATTATATATATGTAAAATATGTAACAAGTAACTGTGTTGCAGGTGTGCTACTGATTTGCATTGTATCATGCACGTAAATACAATAACAGTCTCTTTTTAACATATCACATTTCCTAGCCTATGCATCCAACTGGGATTTTCATTTGCAATACATTCGCAGAATATTCTAAATAATGTTATAAAAGTATAAAATTGCTTTATTAACCCTCTATTACAGGGATCTTTAATTAAAATTTAGTAAGGTCCAGTTAGAGAATTTTCTCAAGCAAAGGTCCAGAACATTAATGTCCAATTTGGATCATGACTCAGTGCCATATACTGTTTACTGAAGTACCCTAGTAGGTATATCAACATCTTATACAGTCAGCAACTGAATGTCAAATCAAATAAAGTACAATTCAGTAACATTTCAACAACATTTATTGTCAGTTTTCTCTTTTTAGATCACGATTTGTAAAATAACTTCACTCTGACTCACTTTCTTCTCTGACTGCTGTTTCTCACCTCGTCCCTCCTCCGTGTGTGCGTCACTCACTCGAGTCTCAGTGCTTATCGTAATGCAAAGATGTGATTGGCTGAGTAGCGTCACGTGTGATATGTACAATGCATGCGATTGGTCTGTGAGTCTCCCGGGCCATTAAAGCTACTCTAAAGGCTAGAAATGTTACGCCAATTAAAATAGGACCACCCTGTCAAAATTAAATAATTCTCCATAGTTTCAGTTATAGGTCCAGGTCCGCATAGGACAGTGTCTGGGTCTTTTACTTTGAATGGACAAATACTTTGACATCACATGATCAGAAATTCTTATTATGATATAACCATACATTCCAAACACCATTTAAAATTGTATTAATTTCCGATATCTGTAAACACTGGGTCATACATTTCACTAAGTATAAGTTGGATGTGTTTGGTCTTGTTTTCAATAAAAAGATGTTTTTAGAGAAATATTAGAATTTATGGTGCTTTTTTTTTATTTTGTGGTGCTTTGGTACGACAACAATAGCCATACAACAACAATTTACCAAATACACCACATTAAATAACAAAGAGTTTTTAAGTATTTCCAATTATTTAAGCAATTTTAAATAACAAAAAAATTAAAACATTATCATGTTTAAGTAATAGTTCATGCAATAGAGTGTTAAAGGATGTGCATTCTTAGCTTATTTTAAAGTCATAAACAGTTTACAGTTATGCCCCAGTATGTGGTCAACACTGTTCCTGAAACCCATTTACCCTGCTAAAGTGGAAAACCTCTTACTTTAGATTAAATTCTCATGAAAAATAGGAAATTAATAAGGTGTTATATGGCATCCATAATGCCCTATTAAACCAGGGATAAGCTTGTATAATTACATGCATAAATCTTCACAAAGCAAGATTCATAAAGTCAGGTTTCATTATGCATTACAATACTTGTTCACAAGAACACTGTAGACTCTAATAACTATAACTACATATAACAGGTTTACAGAGCTTTACTACAGACTTTAAGTGAAGTGAGGTTTTTAAACATCTTTTAAATGTTAAGAGAATTGAATTTCAGTATTTAGTACCTTACAGTGCACTATAAGTGCTCTTCACAGACAGTAAGTGAAGTGAGATAATCATGTGCTAAATGTGTCCTGTGGTAAAGTCCACAGTTCATACAATTGAGGGGGCGTGTCTTATATGCAGAGCATCAGATGTGGATATATTGCTCTGCAGGAACTGTTTAAGGCTTGAATTTGCAAAGCTAGCTTAAAGCTTGCTACTGTTAGCTGTGTTCCTAAACAAGGCAGCTGTCATTTTGGGCTGGAGGTTAGGGAACCAGCCCTGTGACCGGAAGGTCGCTGGTTCGATCCCCTGAGCCGACAGTACGTGACTGAAGTGCCCTTGAGCTAGACGCCTAACCCCCAACTGCTCCCCGGGCACAGCGGAAAGGGCTGCCCACCGCTCCAGGTAAGCATGCTCGCTGCCCCCTAGTGTGCATGTATGTGGGTGTTTCACTGCACGGATGGGTTAAATGTGGAGGTCTAATTCCTCTGTGTGCAAAAACACAGTTGGCTGATGGTTCTGAATTCTAATTCATTAACCATTTAGCTTTGGTTGCTAACTGCTAACAGTCTAGAACCTGTAGGCAGCTAGCCTAGCATTACAGTTTCAATTTATCTAAAAATAAATGAACTCAAATACACCTGGGTGTGCTGTGATGCAGAAAATATCCCAGTGCCTGTGTTATAGTGCATTATAACATGCATGTTTACAGTGATCTTTGTACAGATATTATAATGCATTATGAAAGCTGACAATCTAATGTTGTATACTTTTACTTTATAAACTTTATAAACTACTTAAAAACACATACAATCCTACGACAGACATTATAAGGTATTATGTACACAATATAGTGCTTTATAAATGCTTTTCTAAAACATTATCGGGGGCGTGTCTGCCCACTCAGAGGAATTATCTGCCCATCCAATGAAAAGTTTTCCTCTCTAGTTCATACAGATGCTCTCTGCTTATAAAATATGTCAATTTAAGAGTTTAATTATTTTTTGTATTTTTCAGAGGGTAACAGCACTGAACCCCCCCCCCAAAAAAATCTGAGACTGCAATCATATTTTTCACCGCCCCCCTCCATTAAACTATGTCGTTCTTTACATACCCTATTCAGGAAAACCAACATTTGTTGTTGCCCACCCAACAATTCAAATGCCCACCCAAAGATGGCATCCTAGTAACACCTCTGTACATTATGAATACAGGATTTCATAGAAATAAGTTACTCTTGCTCTCATGGACACACAATATATATCCTGTGAATAACTTTCTAATGACCAACAAATGGCCGACATATTTTGCCAACATTCTCAGTGTAAACTGTGTGGTGCTAATCTTGGGAAGTGCATATGTAACAATTCCTTAACAATCTCATTCTCTCTGTTCAGGTCAGAGAAACTTACAAAGAATAAGCCAACCACCAAGCGAAAGCTAACCTAGCACACATAACTGAGCTAGCAAGAATGTCCATTCTTCTGTTGTTTTGGTCAACCGACCATGCCAGCATTCCCTGGTACAGTGTGTAGGAACTTTACCTTGCTTAATTATCCAAATAAAGGTTGGAAAATAGTTTGTTTCATTATGGAAACACCACCACCCAAACATAGAGCCTGTTTAACTCGTTTCTCTACTTTCGTGTGTTTTTATTTCTGCTTCGCTCAATCTTCAGTGGTGCTGAATATCAGGTCACCTCCAGACAGCTCTCTGACAAGTCCGACTTTATTGGATGCTTATTATAACACTCAATTTCAGTTTTATACATACATTACTAATATTTTACTGTGTGATCTCCTTCCTTTCGGTTAGACTGTTCACCCTCCTCAGCAGGACCAGTGGTAAAAAGTCAAGAAGACAATCACCTGATCTTCTATTCACAGTACCAGGTAGGACTAATAATAATGAAAGTAAAACAATATAACACACTGTACACTGTCTATAGTAGCAAATCCTATCAGAAAAAGCAAAATAAGGCAGTAATATGTAAATGCAGAGCTGCTGTTTGTATTAAAGGACTGAGATCAGCTACATATAAGTTAATGTGTCAAATGACTGTCTTACAGTAACACAGACATTATTATTGACCTAAACTTTCTTATTTTTATATCTTTTGTTGCATATGCAGTACAGTTATGGAAAGGTTGTTCATGATTGTCAACACATCATATAAATGTTTTATTCAATGATAATAATATATGGAATATGGATGTAAATGTGGTAAAAGTAGACACCAAAGAGTATTTTATTATGTTGTATTATAATACAGAGGCTTTATTATAGTATAATGGTATTATATTATATTGTAATATATACAACAGTTGATTCCGACCTTACAATCTGATTGGTTAAAAAGCTGTTATCACAAACATATGCATGGCTTTTTCACACTAAAGCTGTGTCACTCTGCTGATATGTTGCCAAGTAATGAGTGACGTGTTGCCGAGAAACAACAAACTTTAAGCACACAAACCTTAGTTGTTTTGCATTTGTGCTCATACAAAACGAGACCCTGATAAAATAGATGATTTTAAGATAACATTTAATCTGCAGCCTGTTTGGCCAGACTCTGAATAAGACTGTGACTGCAGGCTTTTGCAGATGCACATCAGATTCTGCATCTGCCTTTACCATGAAAATGGTTAGGTTGAGCACAGTGACAGCAAAACAACTAAACTTGCTGGAATTGGCTAGAAACAGAGTACATTCAGCTATAAACTGCTTTACAGATAGGCTGTTAAAAAATGACATTCAGGTTCATTTGGCAACAGTTGAAAAGGCTGAGCTGGACTTGATATTTCTACAGTTCTATGACTCCATCTGTACCACAAAAGCTTAGCCTTACAGTATCAGCAGTTATACTGGACTGTGCACTCGGCTCAGCAGGCCAGGGCAGGGGTCAACAACTCAAATGTTAAGAAGAGCCATTTTGTTGTTACAACAAAAATCAAACCACAACATTTTACGTCCATTTTACCATCTTGGCTGTAAATATGTCTCAGCATGTGCTATTGTGCTAGTATAGGCTAAAAAACATAATATAAACGGAAAAAAGAGTTACTTTGCTCAGCTTTGGCTGCTTTTCTCACATCTCCGGCAGGAAACTTTTTCTCAAAAGTAAGAGTAGTAGTAGTAGTTTCTTGTAAAATATCTCTCAACATTTGACTTTTTACGAGTCAGCTTCTCGTTCTCCAGCTTCTTGTTCAAATTTCCATTTCCACCTTAAATGGTGTGCCAGAATGTAACTGCTGCACCATTTAAGGTGGAACAGGAAAATTCGAATAAGAAACTGACTTCAGCTGCTTGACTTTTTAGTGTTTGACAGCTTCTCGTTGCAAATTAAACGTATCGGGAAACCAGCAGGAGCGCTTAAAAATGAAAATAAGTCCTTTTATCTCCAAATTATCAGTGTTTGCCTTAAATCTTTCTCTTAGCCTTTTTGTTAGCTGCTAGCTAAGTGAGACTGTTGTCTGTGTTGCTATGGTGACCAGCAGTCTAAGTGCCAACCTTCAGGGTTAAAGGGTGAATTAGCAGTTCTACATTAACTCCAGAGTTTAAGACCATTTATTGTTAAACTGTGTTGAACGATCAGCAGAGCTTTATTTTACTGTAAAGGATGATTATTTTATTTTTACCTACAAATCTAATTCTGCTGTGGAGCCACAACAGGACAGTAAAAGAGCCATGCTGCCGATCCCTGGGCTAGGGAATTATTGCCGTTGCATAGCAAGAACTCATTAGTTGTGGAACTGCTTTTTAGAGGAAGGTGTTGTCAGTATTAAAGCATATTCAGTATGAAACTCTGGGCTTCTTGGATTTATTTTGTTTCATTTTATAAAAACGGTTGTATAAAAGTAATAGAACGCTCGAGGTCATGTGTTACCGCAAATAACGTCATGGCTGTGATGATCTACGGCGACCAAATCACAGCCGTGATGTTATTCACAATAACACACTCCCTTTTGTCTTCTATCGCTTAAACATTATACTTGAGTATATGTCATTATTATCTCTTCACATTTTGGAGGTTTTTGAGGTTTTGTTCCGACAGCAACAATATTTGTTGTTTATTAAATTAATTAAGTATTGGTTTTGGATTCCTTAGCCATCATATATTGAAGAGACATAATCTGGATTGTGGTTTTTGTACTACCTTCTACTGGTGTCACATACACACACATTCAAACATATTTCCAGAGCAGCTATTCACATAATATTTAGTCTAGACTTTGGTATTAACTCAATAAAACTACACAACTAAAAAATTCATAACATTTTGATCCATAAAACAGTTAAAACAGGGCAATAGAGTCACACAGGAAAAAAAATATTGAATACAGTAAAAAGATCACTAAACTAGCTGATTCCACTAGTTAGTTCTGCTTGTGCTATTTAGTCAGCTGGGTGGGTAGATTAGTACATTCACTCTTTAAAAAGGGGGACCCACCTCTGAATGTGAGTAAACTTATCATCATTTGTCACCAAGCTGTCAAGGAAGTAACATCTTATGAGGGGTAGAAGCAGAGAGCTCTCACAAGACCTTCATAATGAGATATTAAGATGTTAAGCAGCATAGTAACTCCTGAATAACTCCTAAAACTGAGCCGTTATCTGCAAGCGGAAGGAACATCACTCGACCATCAACCAGCCACACACAAGAGTTCCTCACAAGGTTTACAACTGCAGTCAGAGAGTCAGATGAGTAGCCCAGTGGCCAAGGACCATGAAAAAAGAGCTCCAGAAAGACATGGAAGCAGCGGTTACAGAGGAAGCAACAGGCAACGCACTCCATTGGCCATAGTCTCCATTCACAATCACCTTGGAGGACTCATTACTGAAGAAAAAGCATGTTGAAGCTTTTTGAAAGTTTGCTATATAAAATGTTGAGATGCCTGTAGATTACTAGGAGAATGTAATGTGGTCAAAATAGACAAATATTGAACTTTTCTGCAACAATGTGCCATGTTTGGAGGAGAAATGCTTGGCATATGACCCTAAAAATACCCAGGAGGTGGAAGCATCATGGTATGGGGCTGTTTCTCTTTTCATTGTACAAATTATCGAAGGAAGATTACTGGAGCCATGTACCAGGAAAGTCTTGAGAAGAAAATGTTGGAAGATGAGGATGAGGCTTGGGTGGACCTTCCAGCAGGACAATGATCCAAAACACACTGCAAAGGAGACTCTCAGCTGGATCCACAGGAAGACAGTAAAGGAGTTGGAATGACACAATCAAGCACCAGACTGAAACCCAATAGAAAACTTGTGGAAGGAACTAAAGGTCTAGATCAGACATGTCAAACTGGGGACCTTCTGGGCCGAAGTGTTGTGCATATTAGTGTTTACCCTCATCTAACGCTCTGAATTCAGTTCATAGAGGCCTTGCTGGTTAGCTGATGAGCTGAATCAGGTTTGTTTAACAAGGCAGTGAGCTGAAGTCTGCAGTGTTGTGGCCTGCAAGGGCTGGAGCCTGACACATGTAATCTAGATTCACCAGCAAGCCCCCCCAGAATCTTCAAGATTTAAGGAGTCTGTGTAGAAGGATGGGCCAAAAACTGCTGAGCACTATGAGAGAGTTTCTTTGTACAGGAAGTGTTTTGGAACTGTCATTGTTAACAAAGGCTTTTCCACCACATACTAATTACATTTCAATTAATGTGTTGAATGCTTTTTCCTGTGATATTCAACTTTATTGCACAGAACTGTTTAGATGGATTGGACTGTTACAATTCTTTAGCTGAGTAGCTTTAATGAGTTAATACCATAGTCTGGCCTAAATTTCATGTGAAAAGCTGCAATCGAAATACGTTTAATAAAGAATGTTGATGTGTTGAATACTTATTTCCCTCACTGTATTTATAATAGTTAGTAATGTGTAACCATGTGTGAATGTTTAACCATTTAAATTGTTAATATCTTGTTTTTTATTTGCAGCTATGCTACTGATATGCATCGCTTCTCTTCTAACCTGCTCTGCAGCAGGTAAATACAATCTTTTTATATCTTATATATTTCCTAGCCTAAGCATCCTACATTTCACAATACATTAACAGAATATTCTAAAGAAAGTAATGAGTATAAAATTGTTTCATTAAAAACATGTCATTGTGACATTTATTGCATTGTTAGCTTTAGTAATAATCATTATAGACCCAACGTGTGGTCAAACCTGTTACTGAAACCCGTTTATGCTGCTAAAGTAAGAAGGAAACCAGTAAGTCAACAGGAAATTAAGACCCTTTTTAACACCACTGCCAAAAAGATAAAAAAAATAGAAAATAGCAACAGCTGACAGTACATTTCAGTCAGAGTGTGACTGTATTCTACATATAAATTAAAAAATACATAAGTACATATAAATATGTAGCATTTATATTTATAGAGCGAATGTTATTTAAACTGTTTTATTTCATTTACAAAACTACATCACTTTTAACAGTTCTAGCTAAACAGTGCTTTTTCTTCAATGTGACTGAGTTTCTTGAAGAAACTTACAAGCCAAAGCTAAACCAGAAGACTTAACTGAGCTATCAAGAACGTCTGTTCTTTTGTTCGGCCACACCTGCATTCCCTGAATGCACATACTGTACAGTGAATAAAAGACTTTGCTTTCTTTAAGACGTTGCAATATAAAAGCATGTAGAGCCCGTTTCACTCATTTCTCCATTCTTCACTTGTGCTTTTGTGTTTAGTTCTGATTTAGTGGCATTTAGGCTGGGAGCATTAGGCCACTTCCAGACAGTTCTCATTTGTGAGTTAAGACCATGCCTACCAACATGGTGGTGGTAGTATGAGGGAAGATTTATTGAGGGAGGGGGGATCACTCTGAGAACTTGGGCTGGGGTTCTGGGCAGCTTCTGAAGGCTGGACCCCTCATAGCTGTAGTATGGGAGGAGATGGGGTGGCGGTGGGGATTGTGAACACTTCGTCACAGGAACAGAAGGTGAGGGTGTGAATTTCTAGGGCATTAGATTGGAAGAAGGAGGGGTTTCAGGCATGTTCCTCCTCCACAAATTTCAATTATAACATAAAACATTAAATGGCTTAGGTCAGATGTTGTTGTTGTTGTTGTTGTTGTTATTATATATATATATATATATATATATATATATATATATATATATATATATATAATATACACAGTTGCTCTCAAAATGATTCAACCTCCTCAAAGTTCAAGGCTGTTTGGTAATATTAAAAATGAATGAAAACGTATCAAACAAAGCTTCAGTAAACAGTCAAAGAAGGTTTATTACTACTATGTAATTTGCTATGTTCAAGTGATTTACAGAACATCAAGTTCACTTTACTGCTAACACTAAAAAAAAACATTCTCTCCACAAATGTTCATGTGCAAAATTTTTCAACCCGTAAAGTCAGTATTCCATGACGTATCCTTTACACTTTATAACCTCCAATAAATGTTCCCAGTAGGTGCTCACAAACTTCTGACATCTCTCTATTGGAATCTTTGTCCATTCCTCATTTGCAAAAGCTTCCAGCTCATCAGTGCTCACTGGTTCCTGTACCACCACAACTTTCCTTAAATCCCACCAAAGATTTTCAATTTTCAATGGGATTTCAATTCAGGGGCTGAGACGGCCACTCAGGAACATTCCAGGACCAAACCCTGAACCAAGCTGTGGTCAACGTGGATGTATGCTTGGGATCTTGGGGTCTTGCTGGAAAGTTCAATGATAACCCAGCTTTAATTTATGCACTGAAGGCATCACATTTATCTCCAAAATGGCTTGGTATTTCAGCAAATCCATAATGCCAGTTACATGGTCAAGACTGTCAGTTCCCGCAGCAGCAAAACACTCAAACAACAGGACTGACCTAATGCTTGACTGTGAGGATGGTGTTCTTTTTGTCATAAGCCTTTCTTTTCTCATGCCAGACATACTGCTGATCCATGGGTCCAAATAGCTCCAATTTATTTTCATTATTACATAAAACTGTCTCCCAGAACCCCACAGGCCTGTCCAAATTACTTCTTGCATTTTCGAGTTCACTTTTCGTGTGCTTCTTGGTCAAGAGTGGAGTGCGGCGAGGTGTCCAGGCATGTCCTTCTTGTTGTGTTCACAGATAATTTTGTTTTTATGAGGTCATACTGCAAGTCTTTGGCAGTAATACAGGGGTGTTTTCCCAGCTGTTCTATTGAAATGTCTGATTCCTCAGATTGGGGAATTTCTCCCTTTTTTTCATGCCCAGGTTGGTTTGCTGCCTGTGTCTGGGATATAATTTTGTAGCCATTGCCTTTTTGCTGCAATGTAATAATTTATTTTCTCAGTTTTTTTTTTCCATGTTTGCTGCGAAGCTTGGACTCATGCATGGGTGGGATTTATATCATAGCTGTATCACAGCTGGAGCAACTTAATTGCCAATATAGAGTTTAGGAAAGCTTAAATTGTGTTGTGGTGCAGTTTTGTAGCCTTAAAAAAAGCAGTTAAAAAAAACAGCCGTATTAAATAATTATGACATCGCTTTATTAAAAAAAATATCCTTTTACTCAGAAATATGACATCATACATTTTCACTATCAATTTGAATATGTCATGCAACTGATACACATGTATAGAAACATGTTCTGGGTCTAAATCCATACAGTTGGCGGGGGTTGAATAATTTTGAGTGCAATTCTATAAATATATATATATATATATATATATATATATATATATATATATATATATATATATATATATATATTGTGGGACATAACTTATGTATATAATTACTGTTGCACAAAATGAGTTCAAATAAATTAAAAAACACACATTAAGTCATATAAATAAGACGCACATATTTCACTGAAAAAACAATGATATTAATTTAAAATATTATACACATTAGAGGGCAGTTGTGGGCTGGAGATTAGGGGACCAGCCTTGTGACCGGAAGGTCGCTGGTTTGATCCCCTTGGCCGACAGTACGTGACTGAAGTGTCCTTGAGTAGGGCACCTAACCCCCAACTGCTCCCCAGGTGCCATGGATAGGGCTGCCCACCATCCCGGGCAAGCGTGCTCACTGCCCCCTAGTGTGTGTTTACTAGTATGCATGTATGTGGGTGTTTCACTGCACAGATGGGTTAAATGCCGAGGTCTAATTCCTCTGTGTGCAAACACAGTTGATTAATGGTTCTGAATTTAATTCATTTCAATCTATTTCATACGAAATTTTTCTTTCTCTATTCTCTCTCTCCAGCATCAGAGTTCTCTGTATTTGTTCCTGATACTTCAGTGTCAGAGCGATTGGGGTCATCAGCTGTCCTACCTTGTGGTCTTTCTCCCTCTTTAAACGCTGAGACGTTTGAGGTTCGATGGCACAAGAATGATTACAGCAACCCGGTTCTGCTGTACAATGATCTAAAGGTTCAGGAGAACGCTGGAGATCCTCAGTACAGAGGCAGAGTGTCTCTGATTGGAGAACTGCAGAAAGGGAACGTCTCTCTGAAACTGGAGAACCTCGAACTGGCAGACAGGGGAGAATATGTGTGCATGGTTAAGAGTGTCACTTGGTACGAATGGGCTAACATAAATCTTACAATAAAAGGTAAGACCTTCAGTGAGCTAAACCTGCTGATAAGGCTGCTTTCCCAAAATCATACACTGCACAATTTAAAGGTGCCTTGAATTTTCAGTAGAACTATTTAAAGTAATAAACATATTTAAGGTGCCTCAAGGTGCCTGGAACTTCCACATTATTGAAGGAAATCTTCATAGTCTATAAGCTCTTGTAAGAACCTCTAACTACCTCAACTGGGTTCCATCAAGCACCTTTCTGGGTTCCTGGTGGAACATATAGGTGTAAAAGGGGTATTTTAAGAGGAGTGGGGTTCTTTGAAGTCCTCTTACATTCAAGCAGGTTCCAAAAGTAACCAAAACGTTGTGGTGAGCATGTGCAGTTATAATAACTGTTCAAAGTGTGGTTTCATAACAAGAAGTAGCCTTGATTAGCAAATTGGGGTAACAGATAATCTTAGGAGTCTCATGATTTATTGTTGAATTAAGAGGATAATAATACACCCAATAACCACTTTATTGGAAACCTGTACTTTGTCGCTTCACCCTGCAGCTGTACACTGTGATCATAAGAATGATAACAAATATCTAACATTTCTATAATCAAGGCAGTTAGTGTGAAGCTTTTACTGGGAACTAAGCCACTTTATTAGAAACACACATCTTACTTCCACTCACTGGCCACTTTATTAGAACACCTACCTTGTACTTCCACTCACTGGCCACTTTATTTGAAACACTCCCCTTGTACTTCCACTCACTGGCCACTTTTTTAGATGGATAGATAGACCATGTATGACCTTTATAGATGCATAAACAAAGTGCAATGTGCAATGTTTGTGACAAATAAACAAAGTGGCAGAATGGAATATGTATAAATGTATAATCAAATTGGCAGTGCATAGTAATATAAGCAGAGAGATGTAGTAATGTCCAGTTGGTGCCCAGTGAGCCTGTCCTGTCAGTGGCTCAGTATACAGTAATGTCCCAGCACAGTGATGGTATTGTACAGCGCGATTGCTCCTGGTACAAACAATCTCTTGTACTGTTCCTTACTACAGCAGAGCTGAATGAGTCTACCAACCTTGTCCTTCCACTCACTGGTCACTTTATTAGAAACACCTACCTTGTATTTCCACTCACTGACCACTTTATTGGAAACACCTGCCAAACTGGCTAGTTTGTTTAGCTTCTCTTTTTCCCCTAATATTTCTTTTTTTCTCTCGTCTGTCTCTGTCATAATAAAAGTCTCCAGTACAAAAGTAATGCTACAATATTATTGTCCAATCATGGATTAGAAACTCCTCCATTGCTGGTGTACAGTTAGAGACTTTAGCTCATCTGTTCATGCACAGTTTGTGCTTGTTTTTATTGTCTTTGTCATCACCTGGAAATCCAACTAAACGCAAATTTGCTGTGGCACCTGAACTTCTGCACACAACTGTATGCTTGTTTACTCAAGCTCATGTGTACCTGTAATGTACAATGTATACATACATGTTTTGCATCACTTTTTCAACCTAATAACAAGCTCTCTCTGTCTTTCATAGTACGGGGCTCTTCTCCTCTCCTTTCAGTGGCTCAAGTTGGAGATGAGGTGAATGTTTCCTGTGCATCAGGTGGATGGTCACCAAAGCCCACCCTCATCTGGAAAGACCGAGGAGGACGAGAACTCAGAAACAACTACATTCATTACAAAACTGGTAATAGATCCCAACACAATGCTTTCAGAAAGTACTGAAACTCGGTATTGGATGGTAACTTTAAATACTGGACTCACTTGAGGAGAACTTTGGAAAAGGTTAAGCTTACAGACTCACAACACATGACAACGTTGTTTATTTGTATTTATTCTAATGTTAGGGTGTCATGTTTACTCAGTGTCTATGCTACACATATATACAGTATATACAGTACATGACCAAAAGTATCTAAATACTCCTTCTGATTAGTGAGTTTGGCGTACAGTTAGGGAGGAGTGAAGTGTAGATGTTTAGTTTAACGCCGAATTTCAGGGTTGTTTGGCTGCAACTACTTTAAATAACAAAAGAAAATTAGTTAATTAATTAACTAAATAATAATAATAATAATAAAAAGAACTGACATTTAAAATAATTTGACTGCAGTAAAGACCCACTTGTGCTTATTGTACAGTATGTATTTTTATGATGTTCAATTTATTCACATTATTGTGTCAGTATAAAGTCACAGACCTTTCATTTATTTAATTTTCACTCAAAACAGCCATTAAGTACGTCTCAGTGTGAGGTCTCTGACTTCTGGACAGTACTGGACAAGACAACACTGCATTTTCAAGCATGTCACAGCAAAGTCAGTGACTTCGTTCACCAGCCGTTGGTCACTTTAGGGGCATTAAGACACAAGCATATTGCGGTGTCCAGATTCAAAGTGTTTGGAAGCTGATGACACACTGCATTCTTTTAGGACGGAACAGAGATGCTTAGGGTAAATAAAATAATGGCAAAATTAGATGTTCTGGCATGTTTTCAAACTTTTTTTGGAGCAAAGGGAGTGCATTGAGTAGCCACTTCCATATCTGTTATTTACACCAAGATTTCTTATTCTGTGCAAAACAACCATAAACATAACAGATTGTAAAATCACTTACCTCTATGTAGAATGACGTTGTTCAAATAGCGCTTAAACCTGCTATAAAGTTGCCTGGATAATGAAGAACCTAGCAATGTTTTTCATGGATTGCACCTGGTCTTTAGTTCCAATGATGGAAAATCTTAATGCTACAGCATATGATGGAATTTAAGTATGTGCTTCCAACTTTGTGGCAGTGGTTTGGAGAAGGCCCTTGTACACAAAGTGAGGTCCATAAAAAATAAATGGTTTGTTGAGTTTTGGCGTAGAAAAACTTGAGTAGTCCGCACAGAGCCCTGACATCAATCCTGTCCAAGGCTATTGGGATGAACTAGAATGTCAACTGCGAGGCAGGCCTTATCAGCATCAGTACCTGACCTCACTACTGCCCTCTGTGAGAATACCTGCAGCCATGTTCCAAAATCCACATGAAGAGCAGAGGCTATTTTTGCAGCAAACTTACTATTGTTGCCTATGGTTTTGTGTTATGCGCCAGGGGGTTTGCCCTGAGAGTGAATCAAATTCACAAGACTCGAAAGTCAAGACAGATCTGGGTCAGAGCAAGCTGCATGTAGCAGCATGAACTCAAGACTGAGTGCTGAATGATGTGTGAGCACACCACTCTCCAGAAGCAACTAGAGAACTGGGATCCATGGTCAGAAACAATGTCCAAAGGGGAACCATGGACCCTCACCATAAGTTTTAACAATAAAGTGTTGGTTTCCTTAGCTGAGGGTAGCTTAGGCAGGGCAATGAACTTGCAGGTCATGGACAACCGGTCTACCATGACCATAATCACCATGTTGCATTGGACCCTGGCAACCTGGTGATAAAGTCTATGGAGATCCCAACCCATGGAAGAAGAAGACAGCTGGAACGTTCATCAACCCGAACTGCATTATGAGGTACTCTCCCGAACTGCATTACGAGGTCTTCCACTCGTCTCCCTGGCGAACTCAAATTAGGTTATAGGCACTGCGCAGGTCCAACTTTGTTAAGATAGATGTCTGCTGCAGTGCCTCAAAGGCCACCTGGCAGACAATAGAGCATGGCTTCAAGCACAGAGCAACTGAGGGTCAGGGAAAAGTTGCAACTCAGAAAAGAAATGAAAGTGGCTAAGAGCTGGGAAAACAAGTTAGAAGAAGAATGAAATAAACTTGGTAATAAACATGGTAAACAGCAACTGGTCACAATAACCAAGGCTCGAACCCTCAGTCGCTATGTTGCCAGCTCTACTAACTCAAAGCAGAACTGAACTCAAAAAACTCCCTTCTTTGATCTCTTCCTCACTTCTCCCTAAGCATGAGGGCAAGAAACACTCAAGAGATTTTTTTTTATACTTATACTGGAGAACAACTAGAGAAAAGTAAAGACTCAAAACTTGAGACAGATACCAAGATTACCAGCTGAGTCAGAGCAACTTGCACATAGCAGCATGAACTCAAGACTGAGCGCCAAACGACGTGTGAGCATCCCTTAAGTAGGGTACCCACAGCTGCTACCACTCAGCCCTAATTACTCATTCCTGGAGGCCTAGCATGTTGCCTGGGCAGTACAGTTTTGGAGATGTTAAACCAGCGCCTGTGGCTTGTCCTGGTGTCCACATACTGTCAGTCATGTACCTTTCAATAGGGTTAGGAAGTAACAAAATGCATATTGGAAATATATATTTAGTATTCAGAATAAAGTTACTTTTTACATTATTATTGCTTATTTCTGAACTACTACTACAAACACTGAAGTTCGGACGGAAAAAAATATTGAGAATTTCAGATTTTTATTTAAACAACAGGTGAGTTTGCATGAAATGTATGAAAAGAATAATTACATGATGTAAACTGCCAGCCAGTAACAGCCAGGAATAGTATTATGTTCTTCACCAAGATGTGTTGTAAACGTATTCTGAATATTTTACTTTTTATGTTCTGTAATGGAATATGTTACTGAATACATTTAAGTCAGTGTATTCAGTATTCAGCCATAACTACTTTTTCAAAATATTTTGCTCAACTGTACAGTTCAAGGCCAAAACAGTGGTTTTGTTGAAATTTCATTTTAAAAGTTTACCCCTGCATCATCTTCCTCTCTCTCTGTTTATTAGACTCTGAAGGGTTGGTGAGTGTGAGCTCTTGGCTGCTTTTCTCTCCCTCGGAGTCAGAGTGGATCTCCTGTTCTGTAGGTTCATCTGATCAGGAGATGAAGGAAGGAAGAGTGCAACCAAACAAAGGTCTGTCTACTTTATTCTACTGTGAAATACTCAAATGTTACACACAATTATATCACAGTAAACAAGTTTAATTTCTAGTTCCACATATTTAGTACAGACTAAATGAAATAACATTTTCATTTATACATAATGATATATTTGATCTACTTATTCAGAAATATAAAATGTTTTTGGCAGCTTTGTCTCATACTTTAACTCATCTTTAAATATTTAATACATACTATTTGGATATATAAAAAATATTACAATATCACAAAATAAGATTTTTGACTGCTGTAATTTTATACTATGTACTTTTGTGATCACTAAAGCAAAACTGTTAACTTACTGATAATTTTAAAGCCGCTTTGAATCCATATTTATGTTTCGGCAGAAATCTGGAGGGATGCGTTCATCTCCACTTTAGTACTTTCATTAATTATCATCATCATCCTTACTGCTCTTCTTCTTTTAGTAAGACAAGGTAAGGTTTAAAACTACAACTATTTACAAAAATAAGACGTTTTGGACATAAACTCTGACATACCGCAGCAATAATACAGTTATTTATCATATTTGTTTCCTTAAATAGGTTTATTCCCACACTGCTCATCTCATAAAAATGCAAAAGCAGCAGGTATGATTCCTTTTGTAACATTTATATATAAAAATGTGTAGATATAGAATTTTAGAAATAATGTAACTATAGAAAAACTTAATTATGATTATTATTTATTTTGCAGTAGGTCATCAGTGCTGGCTAGATATTTATCTCTGTAATAGTGTTTTTATCGGAGAGTAAAAAGTTTTCACTTCACACAAATAATTAAACACTAGAACTTAATACAGTATCAGTGATGCTGCTGGAATAGATACATTATCAGTGATCTCAGACAAGATGATATTACAGATATGAGTCAGTAATGTTGCTCTACATGTCAGGAAGTGTATGACATTAAATTTCAATTTTGTCATGCAGTTAATTCTCTTGAATCCATTCCAGCAGAAACAGTTCCCCTTAAAGGTAACCATTATTTATTTGTAATACATATTTTTTTCGGTTGTAATATGTTTTTATTATTTGTATTTTGACTTTTTTTTTCTTTTGTTCAAAGAGGAAGCACCTCCCCTTACAGGTAACATTTCATTTGCACTACAAGTGTGATTTTGGATCAATACTATTAAACTTGCCAGAGTAAATAAAAGGCATCATTTTTATTGTTTTTCATGTTCTTTATATTGCTTCTAAGAGAGCTGGTTAATCTGGACACTGTCATTTCTCTACAATTTCAGAAAAGGCTAAAGAGAAGACAGTTTCAGGTAAGCTGTCTTGTCATTTCTGGCTAGATTAGAAAATGCATTCTAGGTTCCAGTTTAAGCCGCCAGCTTCTCTACTTGAATGTTTTAAAAGAGAACAGTGTTAAAATGAGTGTATCATACAGGTATCAGTTCACAGTCGTCTGTGTCTCCAGAATCTTCTGAAGAGAGATTACAGATGTGGAATAAACTGAAAAAACAGAAAGGTAAATAAAATATTTGACATTCATTTATTTACATGCATCTTCACTGTTCTGCTCAAACAAATGTATTTGTTCTTTCCTTTCTCAGTGAAGCTCACTGTGGATCCTGACACACGTCACAGATCTCTGATGGTGACACGAGATGGAACTGGTGTGTATTGTGGAACACTGAGCTTATCCAACCCTGCAGACCCATTTCCTCACATTCTGAGTAAAGAAGAATTCTCCTCAGGACTGAAATACTGGGAAGTTACAGTGGATCAGAAAGAAAAGAGTAAAAAGTCATGGTGTGTGGGGGTCACTCAAAAGCCCCCCACTAAAGAGACCCTCACAGCTCTCTGTTATGAAGAACGCTGTGGTATTTACCCCAGTACTGACCCTCACATTCAGATACCTGCTGAAGATCACGTTTCCACCCTGGGTCTGATTTTAGACTTCAAACACAAAACTCTGTCCTTTATTAATGTAGATAAACGATCTCATCTTCATACTTTTAGAATGAATAACATGACGAAGAATAAATATTTTGCTCTAATCAGTCCAGGAATAAAAGATAATCACAATGTAAGTTTTCATTGTTAGTAATGTTGTGTTATTGTACAGCCCTTTAAGGTGAGACACTACAAGTAGGTAAATTTTTAAATGAATAGTTATTGGTATTGTGGTGTCTGCATTTCACAAGGAGCTCAAAGTGGCATGGCATGCAAATCTGCACCTGCCTGCGCTTCACCCTCCATTGAAAAGGACAGTTGTTGTTGTTGTTGTTGTTGTTGTTTGTTAGTTTAAGATGTGTTTATGCCTTAGATGTGCTGTATTGTGTTCTGCTGAGGGTTATTTAGTGTGGCTTTAGTGTTTAAAGTCAGTAGATGTTGCATAACTAGAGATTGAGATGTTAATTAAGATGTTAATTTTATTGTGACGATACACTCCAGAGAAGGGATTTTACTGAACAGAATGCTGGAATCTTTAATCCAGAACAGATTATGCACTGGTATGAAATACATAAATATAAGGTCAGGTCATTCTGTAGTACAATATCTGCCATAAATCCTCCTCTTTGTAATAAACTAAGAATCATTGTGCAATGTCTTCCAAAAGAGTTACGAATGAACCTATGAATTTCATGAATGTAGGTATTCCAGAAGCTGAGATTTATGGTTCTGAATGTAGAGAAAAGCTGATTTTGAGAAAAATGATTTTAATAATTAGTCAAAGAACTGTATCACCAAATGATACCAAAGAAAATATGCACTATTTGTGTGAATGTTATTGGTAGTACAATAGAAATATAGACATATTTGGATATTCTACTTAGATTCTACATAATAAGAGCTTTTAGGTGGGTGGAGCTAGGCCGTTTAAGAGAAGTGAAGAGGAGATATGTTGTAGATGCAAAAAACAGGACCAAAATCATAATTTTTTGCCTGTAGTGTCTCACCTTACAGAGACCGATAATAAATAGTCAAGACCAACTATACTTTGGAACTTACTTGAGCAGCAATCAGTTTCATCCCTATTGTTTTTTACAGAACATTCACCTTAAATTTTATTGCCCAAAGCTACAGGGTCAGCCAGTCTTTTGGGGTCAGCCGGTCAAAATATTAACAATGTAATATTTGAAATATCAAATTATTTGAGGCTTGTGGAGAAAGTGTGGAAAAACTTTTTGTTTTTGAAGTAAAAATGTCATTTTTTTATAAACTTTTTATAAACACATTTTTTATAAGAACTTAAGGAATACACTGTAATCCCACTGTGAGTAGGTTTATGCATCATCATGGATATTTAGTTTCACAGTATATAGACTCTGTTCTTAAGACAGAGTTCTTCCTTCACTTCCCCACTACCAATTTAGTGTGTAAAACAGTTTTGGTCATGTTTGCTTGTGTCCTTTGAGAAGCATGTTGTCACTGTAAACTTTGTATCTCCAAAATGGTGAAACGTCAATAGAAGGACAAAACACTTTATTAACTGTTAATGTAACAATTTTAATTGTTAAATTTTAAATAATTTTGGGCAATTTGTATTCCTCCATCGGTTCCACAATGTAAAAGGCAGCTGGCATTTTCAGATAATGTAGAAAAAAACAAATGTGAGAGTTTTGCTCTGACAGTGATGAAATTGAAAAAAAAAACAAATAGTAAATAAATTTGTTTCATCTTTAGAATGTCTAATTTTGAATGTTAATTTTGCAATGTAATAAAAAATATAATTGTGATTGTATAAATTATTATAGTTTTATTTGGCACTGCTAGCTGTGCTGTATTGTTCTGAAAAGGTTGATTGTTCTTGCATACTTTCTTGAGAAATAAATAAGCTTATTATAAAACTTTTACAGCAATGTTAAGTAAACCTCAAATGAGGACAGCCTTTCAGCAAGATAACCTTCACTGCAAATCTATAAATTTGCTGGTTTTCCTGCTTTTACTGTAAAAACGGTAAAATATATCGTGGCAATTTAGAATCAGGATGGTTAGTGTTGTTTCTTGCAACTCAACAAATCCAGAAAAAGGTTGTTACTCTTTGCAGTCACTTGGCTTTCCTTTTGTAATGTTTTGGCGTCACCTTGTGGCCACATTAGGGAAAAGCAACACGTGTCCAATCTGACTGCACTGCAGCGCAGCAAGCAATGTTTAAGCGCCTCTGAGAACTGAACTGCAGTGCATGATCTGCATCAGTACACAGCAAAGAAAGAACACAACCACGCTGTGTTTTACTGCACAGTAGAAGTGGCAATAGGATGGTATTTTATTGTTATCATGATCAATTTTGCTCTCATGATAAGCACTACGCTTTCCTGAGCATGTTATGTGTATCATCAGTACTCAAAGAACACAGCATGTTTTTATAACAAACAGAGCATAATTAGGGCCTGTTTGACTGGATTTAGTGCAGTATGTGACAGACTGATGTACAGCTTTCACACAAGTCGTGATTCTTTACTAACCAGCTGTTGGCATAAACAGGGTTTTCTCAGACAGCTCGCTACAAGCCTAAGCTACACCTTATTCTCCCAACTGACTGAAGCCCTGTTTCATTTCATTTTTTAACTTACCCTCGTCACTTCAGCTCAGCACCCGAATGTGCATCATTCCTCCGTCACACAAGCGGCCACTCGGTGCAGAAGAGAAGGAGGTGATAGTGACACTTATTCAAACAGAACACTCTGGCCCTCGGCAGGTTAGCCTCAGCAAGCCTCGGCCAGGCAAACTTCACAATGCAAAACATTTTTAGACGTTTGAGCGTAACATACATAATCTGTGTGAGTGATTTCTTTGTCTGGCTATGAACTTGGAGTTGAACTGTGGTTCAGTGCCTTTCATTTTGATCTTGTTAGCCGTGAAGTCTTTAGCATGCTAACAAGCCAGCTAGCAGAGTGAAGTGAAGTTGTATCATGGAGTGGTTTGTAACCTGAAGCCCAGTAAACTGACTGTTATGGTTTTGAAATGTTAAACAAGCCGTATTGCTGGGTAAGTTCTGCTGCTGAAGTCTTCGCTGGTGTTCGCTCGATCCCTCGCCCCTCCGAGGGCTCATCTAACACCCTTCACTTCAGAAGATGGCGCTGGGAATCCCCCCTGTGGGGAAATGATGAGTCCAAATGGAGAAGGGTTCTTAAAGCCAGTATTGAAATGGGGGTGGGGGAGGGGTGCTATCTGCTCATAGCACATAACCCCTGGCGAAAACTAGCCCCGCCTTCACAATAAGAGTCCTTATCAGAGTACACATCGCTGCTGTCGGAACAAAACCTCGTATCTCCAAAATGGTAACTTTACAGGAGATGGAAGAAAACGTACTTTACTTTTAATGTAAAGCAATGGAACCAGACCATGTAATTTTGGACTGTTTCATTTGGCCCATTTATCACAAAATTTTACACACAATTTAAAAGTGTGCATGTGTGTGTGTTTATCATTGCTGTTGGAACAAAACCTTGTTATCTCCAAAATGGTAACTTTACAGGAGAATAAAAAGACCCAAAACCTTCGAACCTGCTTAACTTACACTGGAAGTCAAATGTAACAAGATTTTTTTCAGTGGATTATTGACCATTTTCTATTAGTCCATTCATCATGAATTAGTCCATTAGTCCATTTCACACAATAAAAAGGGTTACTGAACTTTTCAAATTATACAAAAAAGGAAAAAGGTTCTTGCATGACAGTGACGATCTGCAGTTTCTCGTTCATTCATTTTTTTTTTTTTTAGTAATTCGCTACCCATAATAAATAGGGATGATGTAGACTTGGTTGTGATTTTTTTCGTATTACTTTCTGGTGGTGTCTCTCTCTTTCTCACACACACACACACACACACACACACACACACACACACACACACATATTGTAGTGGTTAGTAATGTGTAATCATGCGTAAATGTTAAATTGTTGTGTATTTGCAGCTTTGTTACTGATATATTCAGTATACATACTGAAACCCTTTTACGCTGCTAAAGTAAGAGGAAAACCAGTAAGTCACACGATGAACCGGACTCAGTAAGACCCTTTCAAACAGCACTGCCAGGAACTGCACCGTATGTACACACTAAGAAAAAAACCTTATCCTTAACTGAGTAATCAGTAATATCCAATATTCTGTTCTTCTGGTCAGCCGGCCACAGCAGCGTTCCCAGGATGCAGTAAAGTGAATAAGAACTTCACCTTCTTTAAGATCTTGCCCTATGAATGCGAGATAACACTTTCAGTTAGTTTGAATACAACCCCACCCTTACATGCTGATCCTGTTTTACACAGTTTTTTTTGCAGCCTTGCTTGTGCTGTTGCATGTACTTGTGTTTCAGTAGCGTTGCAGCTGTTACGCCACTTCCAGACAGTTTTACGATCTGATGAACGTGGTTTTATTTTATATTAGTTTTATTTTTCTTTCAAATTTTGCTGGATGCTTATTGTAACACTCAATTTCAGTTTTATACCTACATTATTATTATTTTGAACTGTGACCTCCTTCCCTGCGGTTAGGCTGTAACCCTCCCCTTGAGCAGATTCCAGGACGAGAGGTAAGAAGTCAAGAGGATAATCACCTGATCTTCTGTTCACAGTAACAGGTAGGATTAATAATGAAAGAAAAACAAAAATATACTGTATTCTGTTTATTTACAGTATCAAATCAAACATAGCAATAAGGCACTAATATGTAAATGCTGAGCTGCTGTTTGTACTGAAGGACTGAGACCAGTTCCATAAAAGTTAATAAGTGTCAAACGACCGTCTTACAGCAACACCGACGTTTATATTCACCTAAACTTTCTGATCTTTGTAGCTTTTATTGTATCTGAAGTAGAGTTCTGGAAAGGTTTTTCATGTTTGTGTCTGTAGTTCAATATCTTTTCATTATTATTATTTGTGTTGTCTGGAAGTGAAAGAACAAAGGATGATATGACTTCAAGTTCAACTTCAAGATATGACTTTAAGTTCCAAAGTTCAGAGCAGTAGCCTGTACTCTGAAAGGCATAATCCCAGGTCATATGAATGTTTTATTCAAAATTCATTTCTGCAATGTGGATTTAAATGGACACCAAATAATATGTTGAGATGTTTTATTACATTATAATGGCTTCATTATATTATACTGTAAAATATAATATTCATATTTAATAATACTGTATCATATAACTAGAATAGTGCATTTTCTGAAGAAAACATGGTGATTTTGCGGTTGCTATGGTATAAGGCTTGTTTGCTAAGGTGTTGCTAGAAGTTTGCATTGTGTACGGGAGGTTTTTGGAGTTATTGTGAGGGTGTTGCCAAGTTGTTGCTAGGAGTCTATGGGCAAAGAAATTTATAGTGCTTGGGTGTGGGTGAAAATGAACGGGAATCTGTGGGAGGAAGGAGGGATGAAAAAATGATAAATTGAGGAATGCGGGTCAATGTAACTGTGGACTAAAATTTTGGGACCTGCCCTGAGGGAGTACAAACATGCATGCAGCTTATTGGCTGTTTGTCAATGGAAATAATAGGACTTGTGTAGGTACAAAAATTATTGGAAGTCTATGGGAGGAACCAGGAATGAAAAAACGAGAGGAGTGATAGAAGAGAGCGGGTCAGTACGGCTGTAGATTAGAGCTTGGGGACCTGCCCTGAGGAAGTACATGCAGTTTTATGGCTGTCAGGCAAAGGAAAGGATGGGGGCAAAAATGAATGGGAGTCTATGGGAGGAATGAGGGATAAAATGACACATAGAGAAATGTGGGTCAGCATGGCTGTGGATTAGACCTTGGCGACCTGCCCTGAGTGAGGACATGCAGTTTGGGGGCTGTTATGCAAAGGAAATAATGGGGCTTGGTTTGGGCGAAAATGAATGGGAGGAATGAGGGATGAAAAAACGACATACAGAGGAGTGCAGGTCAGTACGGCTGTGAATCAGAGCTTGAGCACCTTCCCTTAATGCAGGGCTCTTTTACTGCCCTGTTGTGGCTCCACAGCAGAATCAGATTTGTAGGTAAAAATAAAATAATCCTCCTTTACAGTAAAATAAAGCTCTGCTGATCGTTCAACACAGTTTAACAATAAATGGTCTTAAACTCTGGAGTTAATGTAGAACTGCTAATTCACCCTTTAACCCTAAAGATCAGCGCAGACTGCTGGTCACCATAGCAACACAGACAACAATCTCACCTAGGTCGTAGCTATAAAAAGGCAAGGAAAAGAAAAATTTAAGATGAGCATTGATCATTTAGAGATGAATGGATGGTGCAGCAGTTACGTTCTGGCGCCTCAGGCATTATTCAAGGTGGAACTGTAAATGTGAACAAGAAGCTGGTGAATGACAAGCTGACTTCAGCCTCATAGAAAGTCAAACATTAAGAGACGTTTTACAATAAACTATTTTACTTTTGTGGAAAAAGTTTCCTGCTGGAGATGTGAGAAAAGCAGCTATAGCTGAACTAAAGCTTAAAGCAGAGCACAGTAAATCTTTGTTTTCATTTATTGTATATTATTTCATTTTTTTAGCTTATATTAGCACGTTAGCACACAGTGAGACATATTTACAGTCAGGACAGTAAAATATTACTCCAATAAAATGGACATAAAATGTTGTGGCTTCCATAGTGGCTTGATTTTTTGTTGAAACAGGACAAAATGGCTTTTCTTAACATTTGGGTTGCTGACCACTGCCTTAGTGAGTACATGTAATTTGGTGGCTGTCAGGCAAAAGAAAGATTAGAGGCTCGTGTTCTAATCTTTCTAGAGGTGTGCAGGTCAGTATGGCTTGCAGTAGAGTTTGAGGACCTGCCCTGAGGGAGTACATGTACTTTGGTGAGTGTTGTGTAAAGGAAATAATAGGGCTTGGATGAGGGCGAAAATGAATGGGACTCGAGGGGAGAAATGAAACGACAAACAGATGAGTGCGGGTCAGAACAACATTGAATTCGTGCTCGGGTGCCTGCCCTGAGATGGTGTATTAGAAATGGTTTCTTTCGGTCAAGCAGTAGTACAGTAGATGGGCGTGCCGCTTTTTCACCCCATTCATTTCTTTAAAAAACTGTAATTAAAAAATAATTGTACATTGGATCAAAAGGCTGTATACAAGCACACCATTCCGGATTAGACCGAACATTCCGGAGTTGGAATGATGTCGATATGTCAAAAACTGCGGGATGAGTTATCGGAAAAAAAAAAATCTGGCAGAAAAATAAGAAAAAGAAAAAGTCAAAAAAGTTGCAAAAACTTTAAATCTCTGCACAATTTAAAACTCCAGTTAAGCTTTGCATTGTTAGAATTTCAAGGTGAACACATAAAGAGAGAAATCTCAAAATTACTTCGAAAAAATCTGTCAACACGTTTTTTCCTTCTCCTGTAAAGTTATCATTTTGGACATAGAAGGTTCCAACAGTGACGATGTGCAGTTTCTAGTTCATTAGTTTATTACAGCCCTGCTGTGGGATTCCCTTCTTATAGTAAATTTGGGTGACACAGCCTGGGAAATTTAGACCAGACATTGGTATTAACTCAATAAAACTACACAGCTAAAGAAATCTTAACAGTACAATCCATGAAAAAGTTATGTGAATAAGAAAGGAAAAAAGTATCGAACTCTGTAAGAAAAGCCACTGAACCAGCTGATTCCACTAGTTCGTTCTCCTCCCTGTGCTAATTAGAGTCAGCTGGGTTAGTGCATGTTGGTAGGTCAGTAGTTTCACTCTTTGAAAAGGGCATGTTGAAGCATTTGCAGAAGCCCGTATATTACTGGGAGGGTGTAGTGTGATCAGATGAGATAAAATTGTTTTCGGCAGCAGGGTGTGCCATGTTTGGAGCATAAATGCTCTGCATATGAAAATACCACAACTACAGTGAAGTGTGAAGGTGGAGGCATCATTTGACGGGGCTGTATCTCTTCTAATGGTACCCGCAGAATTCAGACTATTGAAGGGAAAGTGAATGGAGCCATGTACAGGGAAATTCTTGAGAAAAACCAGTTTCCAGCTACCAGCATGATGAGAATGATAATCTTCCAGCAGGACAACAATCCAAATTATACTGCAAAGGAGACTCTCAGTTGGTTCCACATGAAAAAAAAAAGATGTTGGCCCAATCAGTTACCAGACTAAAACCAAACAGAAACGTTGTAGAGGGAAACTGAAGATCAAGATTCACCAGCAGGCCGTCCAGAACCTTCAAGATTTAAAGAGCATCTGTGTAGAAGGATGGGCCAAAATTGCACATGAACACTATGAGAGTTTCTTTGTACAGGCGTTTTGGAGCGGTCACTGTTAACAAAGGCCTCTCCACCACATCAGTTAATGTGTTCAATACTTTTTTCCTGTGATATTCCACTTTAACTCTTTATATTGATCGGAATGTTGTGATGTATTTAGCTGTGTAGTTGTATTGAGTTAATACCAATGTCTGGCCTGAATTGCATGTGAACAGCTGCAATGGAAATACGTTTAATAAAACATGTTGATATGTTGGATACTTATTTTCCTCACTGTTTAACCACTTACTTTGTTAATAATGTGTTTTTTACTTGCAGCTATGCTACTGATATGCATCACTTTTCTTCTGACCTGCTCTGCAGCAGGTAAATAGAACAATTCAACTACAATCTCTTTTTATATATCAAATTATGCATGCACCACATTTCCCTTTCCATTATACATTTCCAAGTATAAACTTGTTTCATTAAAAATGTGTCCTTGTGACAATAATGTGTATTGCTGGCTAGTAATAATCATTACAGACTTCATTATAGACTTACGTCCAACATATGGTCAACCCTATATATGTACTGAGGAAAAAAACAATACAACCCCATTTCCAAAAAAGTTGAGACGCTGTGCAGAATGTAAATAAAAATAGAATGCAATGATATGCAAATCATGTGGACCATATTTTTAAAGGAAAATACTACAAAGACAACATATCAAATGTTGAAACTGAGAAATGTTTTTTTTTTTTTAAATATATGCCAATTTTGGATTTAATGCCGACAACACATTCCAAAAAAGTTGGGATGGGGACATGTTTACCACTATGTTTCATCACCTCTTCTTTTAACAACACTCTGTAATCCTTTGGGAACTGAGGAGACACTGCTGTAGTTTAGAAAGTGAAGTGTTTTTCCGTTCTTGTTTGATACAGGATTTCAGCTGCTCAACAGTTCAGGGTCCTCTTTGTCGTATTTTTCATTTCATAATGCAGCAAATGTTTTGATGGTGACAGGTCTGGACAGCAGGCAGGTCAGTTTAGCACCTGGACTATTTTAATACGGAGCAATGCTGTTGTAATACATGCAGAATGTGGTTTTACCTTGTCTTGCTGAAATAATCAAGGCCTTCTCTGAAAAGGACGTTGTCTGGATGGCAGCATATGTTGCCAAAACATGTATATATTGTTCAGCATTAATGGTGCCTTCACAGATGTGCACGTCACTCATGCCATGTGCACTAATGCACCCCTATACCATCATGAATACTGGATTTTGCACTGATAGCAAGCTGAGTGGTCTTTAGCCCGGAGTACGCAGTGTCCATGATTTCCAAAAAAATTTTCAAATGTTGATTTGTCGGACCACAGGACACTTTTCCACTTCCCCTCAGTCCATTTTAAATGAGCTTGGGCCCAGAGAAGGTGGCAGCATTTCTGGATTCTTTTTATATATGGTTTCTTCTTTCCGTTTTAGAGTTTTAACTTGCATTTGTGGATGCAGCGACAAACTGTTTTCACAGACAGTGGTTTTGAGAAGTGTTTCTGAGCCCATGCAGTGATTTCCATTACAGAATCATGTCTGTTTTTAATGCAGTGCTGCCTGAGGGCCCAAAGATCACAGCCAACAAATACTGGTTTTTGGCCTTTTCCCTTACATACAGAGATTTCTCCAGATTCTCTGAATCTTTTAATGTTATTATGTACCGTAGATGATGAAAAGCAAAAGATCTTTGCTATTTTATGTTGAGAAACGTTATTCTTGAATTGTTGCACTATTTTGCTTGTCTTTCACAGAGCGGTGAACCCCTCCTCATCTTTACTTCTGAAAGATTCCACCTCTCTGGGATGCTTTTATACCCAATCATGTTACTGACCTGTTGCCAATCAACCACCATGTGTTTTTTTTAAGCATTACATAACTTTACCCCGTCCCAACTTTTTTGGAACGTGTTGGCATCAAATTCGAAATGGGCATATATTTTTCAAAAAACAATAAAATTTCTCAGTTTCAACATTTGATATGTTGTTTTTTTACTATTTTCAATGCAATATAGGGTTTAAATGATTTGCACATTGTCACATTTCGCTTTTAATTACATTTTGCACAGCGTCCCGACTTCTTTGGAAATGGGGTTGTAATCAAACATAAGTTGGTCAACTGGCCACAGTGAAGTATTGACATGGTGGCATCTTAAAGGAAGGTAAAGTGAATAAGAACTTTCCTTTCTTTAAGACGTCGCCATGCAAAAGCTGGATAATAGTTTTGGTTAGTTAAGGACGCAGCACCACCCATACTCGTAAAGCCTGTTTCTCCATGCTTCACTTGTTCTATTGTGTTTAGTTCTGCTTCAGTGGCACTGAAGGTCATGTCCAGACAGCTCTGATAAAGGGCTACCTTTTACTGTGTGTGCCGCAATATATAGGCTATCAGCGAGATATTCACTGATGTCAATAAATCAGTGGGTCCTCAAAATCAGACAATATTATTAACCTATATTAATAATAATGACTTTAAGTATTATGCACATCTATTTCATGACAATTTTTATGTTGGGACAAAAAAATTAATTTCAAATCTTCAAATCTCTCTTTCACTTTCTCCTTTCTTTCTCTTCAGCATCAGAGTTCTCTGTATTTGCCTCTAAAGCTTCAGTGTCAGAGCGACTGGGGTCATCAGCTGTCCTGCCGTGTGGGACTCTCCCCTTCTTTAAACGCTGAGACGTTTGAAGTTCGGTGGCACAAGGATGATTACAACAAGCCAGTTCTGCTGTACAAAGATCTAAAGGTCCAGGAGAACGCTGGAGATCCTCAGTACAGAGGCAGAGCATCTCTGATTGGAGAACTGCAGAAAGGGAACGTCTCTCTGAAACTGGAGAACCTCGAACTGGCAGACAGAGGGAGAATATGTGTGCATGGTTAAGAGCACTGCTTGGTACAACTCAGCTAACATAAACCTTACAATAAAAGGTAAGACCATCAGTGAACTAAACCTGCTGATAAGGCTGCTTTCCCAAAATCATACACTGTACAAACTAAAGGTGCTTTGAACATCCAAGAGAACTACTCAAAGAACTGAAAAACACATTTTAGGGTCTCAAAAAATTTCCATATGAAGGGGTTACTGGAGGAAATCTTTGTCTCCAAGCTCTTGTAGGAACCTTTCGCTATCTCAATGGGATTCATCAAACACCATGCTTCACTTCTAGGTTCCTGTAGGAGCTCTTGTCTTTTGAGAGACCCCTAAAGCACCTTTTGGGGTTCCTCAAACTCCTCTTGTTTTTTAGCAGATCGCCACATAATTACAAACACCTATATTGTGCTTCCACTCACTGGCCACTTTATTAGAAACACCTAGCTTGTACTTCCACTCACTTGCCACTTTATTAGCAAGCAAGCAAGCAAAGTTTTTTTATATAGCGCTTTTTATAACAGGTGTTGTCACAAAACAGCTTTACAGAACAATCAGCATTACGGAGAAAGAAAAAAGAAAAATCCGGGTCCGAGCCCCCATGAGCGTCGCCAGTGGCGACAGTGGCAAGGAAAAACTCCTTAAGAGCAAGAGGAAGAAACCTTAAAGGGAACCAAGACTCAGATGGGGAACCCATCCTCCTCTGGTCAACACCGGATAGTAAACATTGTTAGTACAAAGTATTATAGTACAAATTGGGGAAAACAGGTGGAGCAATGGTTAAATAGATTGGTTTTAGTTTAAGCAGCAGCAGCAGCAGCAGCATCATCGGGAGGGTCAGTTCATGAGGGTGAGGATTACACAGCGTTGTACAGCATGAAGCTCGATGGTGGTCAAGCCGGTCCAGAGGGCTGGCGAGTAGTGGCTCCCAAATCAAGGCAGAAGAGGCAACAGCATCAGACGCACAGGATGGGCAGCTGTTCAACTCGGCAAAGAAAGGAAAACACACGGAGAGTCAGTTCTGTAATGAGTGACTGATAACAGATTACAGTATTAACAGAGCAGCAGAGACTCCGGCAGGTCTGGATCTGACAGGGAAAACTAATTACCAAAGGCTTGACTATACAAGTAAGTTTTTAGCCTAGACTTATTAGAAACACCTAGCTTGTACTTCCACTCACTGGCCACTTTATTAGAAACACCTAGCTTGTCCTTCCACTCACTGGCCACTTTATTAGAAACACCTAGCTTGTACTTATTGTCCACTTTACATGCTCTGCCTATTGAGCTGATGAGATTGTGTGCAACATACTATTATCTGATCGTGGATTAGAACCCCCACCCTTGTAGTTCCATCTTGCTGATGTACAGTTAGAGACTGTAGCTCATCTGTTGATGCACTGTTTGTGTTAATCATCCTCCAACCCTTCATCAATGGTCAGTTTCTGACCACAGAGAAAATCATGTCATTTGGCTGGGGTGTCCAAGCTTTTGCATATGACTGTATGCTTATTTACTCAAGCATATGTACCTGTAATGTACAATGTACACATGCAAAATGATCATAATGTACAATGTATACATCATGTATACAGGTTTTGCATCACTTTTTTACCCATTAACAAACTCTCTCATTGTCCTTCATAGTACTGGGCTCTTCTCCTCTCTTCTTAATGGCTGAAGTTGGAAATCAAGTGAATGTGACCTGTAAGTCAAATGGATGGTCACCAAAGCCCACCCTCACCTGGACAGACAAAGGAGGAAGAGAACTTGCAAACAGCCACACTTATTACAAAACTGGTACTAGATCTCAACACAATGCTTTAAGAAAGTATAGAAACTAGGTATTGATGGTAACTGTAAATACTAGACTTCATTAAAGAGAGCATTGAAAACACATCAAATCACGATTTATTGTTTATTTGTACTTATTCTAAAGTTAGTTTGTTTGCTGTGTACAGTATATACACTACATGACCAAATGGATGTTGATTCCTCTTCTAATTAATGAGACAGGTCTCTGACAGCACTGTATTTTTAAACTCGGTAATAATAAGTCATTTCCTTTGCCAACTGCTGGCCACTTTAGGGGCGTGACTAAAATACAGGCATGTTAAGGTGTCCAGAGTCAAAGTGTATGCAGTTGTAGGCTAGTTGAGTGCCCAGAAGTGTCCTAATATTATTTGTAAAACGAAAGTTTCTCCCAGTGTAATTATTTCCTATATTTTGAATACGTTAATTTTACCAACCTTTGTAATTACCTTGCGCATTCAAGTATTAAATTATTAGCATGTAGCTTGATTAAGGGGCTGCCACAATCGATTACTGTGCCAGTCATGGTCGTGGAGTTGCAAACCACCCTTGGAAGCTAATGACAATGCAAATGAAACACTGCATTCACTTATTGTAGTGAGGTACATGATTAGGTTAAACAAAATAAAGCTAAATTAAATGTTTTGGCATGTTTGCAAACTCTTTTCTGGAATGAAGATGCGTAAATTGAGTTGCTTCTTCCATCTCTGTTATTTACACCAAAAATTACTCATCCCTTGCAATTCAATCATAAACATTAGAGACAGTTTGGTGGAGGGGGAATAATGGTCTGGGGCTATTTTTGCACCCAGTCCTTTAGTTCCAGTGAAAGGAAATCTTAAATGCTACAGCATATGCATAAAAGTTATTACTGCAGGGGGAACAAACTTCCTAATATTGCCCATGGTTTTAAAATGAGATGTTCAACAAGCACTTGTGGATGTGATATGTGGTCCACATACTATTAGCCGTGTACCTTTCAAGACCAAAACAATGTTTTTCTTGAAGTTTTATTGTCATTTTAAACTTGTACCTACCACACCTTACTCTCTCTTTCTCTCTCTGTTTATTAGACTCTGAAGGGTTGGTCAGTGTGAGCTCTTGGCTGCTCTTCTCTCCCTCTGAGTCAGAGTGGATCTCCTGTTCTGTGGGTTTATCTGATCAGGAGATGAGGGAGGGAAGAGTGCTGCCACTCAAAGGTGAGAACATCTCTCTATCCACTTTACTATGAATCAATCAAATGCAGCAGAAAATTAAATAGTAATAGTAAACAATTTATTTTTCAGTTTCACATATTTATTACAGACTGTACTATAACATTCCATATATACAGTCGAATGATACATTTGATTTACTTACTCGGGAATAAAAAATGGTATTTTGCAATTTAGCCTTATACTTTCACTAATCTTTCACATTTTTAATGCACAGTGTTTGGGTATATAGAAAAATATTACAATATCACAAAATAGAATTTTTGACTAATTCCGACGTTTATGGAGAACATCTGTAATTTTATACTATGTACTTTTTGAATCCATGTTTATGTTTCTGTAGGAATCTGGAGGGAGGCGTTCATCTCCACTCTAGTTCTTTTACTAATTATTGTCATCACCCTCACTGCTCTTCTGCTTTTAGTAAGAAAAGGTACTGTTTAAAATTAAAACTATTTATAAATAAAGATTTGGACATAAACTCCAACATACCATAGCAATAATGCAAATATTTATCACATTTGATTCTTTAAACAGGTTTATTTTCACACTGGTCATCTCGTAAAAAGGCAAAAGAAGCAGGTATGTATTATCTGTTTGTACATTCCCTGGTAGCAGCACACAGAAGCCCACTTAAACATATAAGCTAACTTTGTTCTTGGTTTGGTCAGTAGTTTTTGGTATTGGCGTTAATAAAAAGTATCAGCATTAATGTTTTAGCGCATCACACACACACACACTGACCAGCTACTTCATTAACTCCTTAAAATCCCAGGTTTATCACATACTAAGGCTTATTATTCAGTAACAACAGGGACTTGAGCTATGCTTAGGTTATAGAAGTCTGTAGTAAAACTTTGGGCCCACCTATGGGCCCTGGCCATTTGAGGGGTCCCTACATCCTTTTATCAGCTCCACTTACCATATAGGTGCATTTTAGTTCTACAATTACAGACTGTAGTCCATCTTTTTAGCCTCCTTTTACCCCTGTACTTCAATGGTCTGGACCCCCACAGAATGTATTATTTGGGTGGTGGGTCATCCTCAGCACTGCAGTAACACTGACATGGTGGTGGTGTGTTAGTGTGTGTTGTGCTGGTACAAGTGGATCAGACACAGCAGTGCTGCTGGAGTCTTTAAACACTGTGTCCACTCACTGTCCACTCTATTAGACACCCCTACCTTGTCAGTCCACCTCGTAGATGTAAAGTCAGAGACGATAGCTCATCTGCTGCTGCACAGTCTGTGTTGGTCATCCTCTAGTCCTTCATCAGTGGTCACAGGACACTGCCCACAGGACGCTGCCCACAGGACGCTGTTGGCTGGATATTTTTGGTTGGTGGACTATTCTCAGTCCAGCAGTGACACTGAGGTGTTTAAAAATGAATGCAGATACAAGGCAGGTGTACTTAATGAAGTGGCCGGTCGGTGTGTGTTGGCGTATATATTTTCTCAGCGCACCACTCAGCATTTTGCCATTACTACATTAAATAAAGCCATATTGCGACCAAAGAGAGCCACAGTAGATCAGAAGTGGCTGGAAGTTTACAAGGAGAAAGGCATCCAGTCTTTTAGATGAACAAACATATACTAATGGTCTGGTACCTCAGCTAACATTACTAGTCTAGTCTTTTTTCACCTCATATTTTTCAGCACAAAAACATTGAGTTTGTGAGAGTTAGTTAACTGATGCCATTATAAATGATGCTGAAAGTTTTATTTCTTTAAATCTCTATATAAAAAATGAACATGAACTTGATGTTCTTGATGTCTGTGTTCTCACTGTGACCCATTCTATGTAGTATAGCAGCGCTCTGCTATGTGATGCGTCCAGTTTGTGGTGGCCTTACACTGTAAAACATGTTGAGACAAAAAACCAATGACATTTATTGTACTTATACTGTTCTTTAATCTTGCTACTAAATGTCATGTGGTGTATTACACAAATCATTCTTACAAATAACTCAACACAAT